TCCTCCATTTTCCTTCAGGTTTGTATTCTGTCGATGCCATAGTCAGTCGTTATTTGGAATCACGTTGGTGTCATCACGGAGAAAAAGGTTTAGATTTCTTTAGAATTAGTTCAGATGAATTAGAATTCATCTTAAATTTACAGTTTTTACCATTTTCATCTCCATTAAAACTCTATTAGGTCAAAACTAGTCAACGTTTACCAATATACCCAATTATATTAAAACAAACCTTGTTCAGTTTTGCCATCTTTAAAAGCACCTTTAGGTTTCCTGTATTCACTAAGTCTCACTACTGAAACTGGCAAAAAATCATTAGTCACAGTTTCTGAATATTTTCTGATTTTCTTCTTCGTCTTCTAGATAGTAAATTGAATATCAAATGAATAACACATCTTTGGGTTTTGTACTGTTAGTTGGACAAAACAGAAATGTCATTATGGGTTTTTCTCTCCTTTATGACAAGGCTCAAACCAAATGATTAATAGATCAATTGAGAAAATAATCTGCAGTTGCAGCCCTAGACTGGGGAGTAATAAAATTCGCTGCAGAGTCTTGTTTTTAACCCCTGAGACCTCAGTGAAGCACCAGTGGGCCAGCCATTAGAGGCTCATGCTATGCAGCCAGATATTGTTCAAACCAACTGATAAATTTAATGCGTCCTGGTTAAGTTAAGTTTTTTCAAAGACAACAAATATTTCAGGCTGAGTTTTTAGGAAACTGTGTATAACATGATAGAGAATATCCATTCCAGTTGTGCAGCTTCCACTAGGATGTAGATATCATTAGAGGAGACGGTGAAACCGATCACAGTAACCTTCACCTCTCCCCCACCCTGTTCCTCACCAGTTTCATCCTCGCCTCTCGCCGTGTTGTTTTCCCTCTCAGCACTTTAATCTTAAAAGTGGCTGCCCCTGATGAGGAAGATCAAAGCAGCCCCGCACCGAGCACAGGTCACCAGCTCCATCCTCGTGATCATGGAGCACGGTGATATTATTGATTTCTCTGAGATCAATCTCGTCAGCTGCTGTTATCCTCTATTGTACCAAAGAGAGCTGGACATGAAGAAGAAAGGAAGAGGAGGAGATTCCGACCTGTTATGTAAGTAGCAGGGAGGATTTTTCACAAGGTAACAACAATGTGTGGAACACAAGTCCACTGAGATCTTGGATGTTTCTCTTCTCTTTTTTTTTTTTCAACTTTTCGTCTAAATTTGTCCGTCGTGTCAGAGGGATGCCTGTGCAGATCTGGCAGGGGGAGCTTTTCCGAGAAATGAGCGAGATGAATGCTCTCTCATAGCCACGGGGAGTTGCATGACGTCAGTCGCCATTCACTGTTTGTGCACAGTTTTGTGTTTTGTTACACACACACACGGATGTATGAAGCAGTGTTTTTTTCCAGATGAATGCTTGCATAGATGCCTAGTTCTTAAGTAAGATAACCCTTTGGAGCAAGGCAGAGGTGGATTACATGGCTGCTGAGCCCAGAGTCACAGCCAGGGATCCAGTCAAAGTGGTGGGAGGGAAGGATGGAGGAGGGAGAGAGAGGAAGAAAGAGAGAAAAAGAGAGGGGGGGGGTGAAAGCAAGTGAGGGGTTTCTATTTCAAATCTCCCTGGACCCCCCAGGGCACTTCCGCTCTGTCTGCATCCTCCACCAAAATAAATCATTTCCATCAAAGGAGAAGCTCTGACCATTCAGTGCTTCTCCTCCTCATCCAAAACAAACTCACATAAGCTGCTGTATTTATCTGATAAAAAACTTATTCAGTGCTGTTTCAAATGACCACACACACTGATTTGACAGGCTGCCAAATCAAAATCGGACATGCAAAATTAACCAGACATCAACTTAAAAATGGCTCAATTAATAATAAAAAACACCTCTCCTTCCATTCCTACTGGCAAACTTGTTTTTCATGCTCTTATATAACATCTCTATTATGTTGCTCCTTGGAGAGGCTGCTTTGTAAATGATCTTTTCTCACACTCTGAATTCTCTGCAAAGACTGTCCTTAATGTTGTTTTTTTCCTGAATGCATCCCATGAGCAAAACACACGAGAAATAGAGAGTATTTAATGCAGTGTAGCTACAGCGAATGCACCACTGGGGTAGTTAAAACCGCCGTCAGTTACATGTCTGTCTGTCACACGGATCAATAGGTGGTGCTCTTGCATGGGCTGCTGAACTTTTCCCCCGTCCTCTCCAAGTCGCACATGACGTTCATCTTTGTGCACTAGAGATCGAGCCGTCTTTTTCTGTTGCAATGCTGTGTGACCAGACATTTATTATTAACAAATTGCTTACGTCATCTGACAAGTAGGGGGAAGATCATTTACGTAGACCGTGATGATGTGATTGGTCGCCGAATTAAAAGCCTTTAAATAAAGGGCGAAAAACACCAAACGATGCCAGTTCTGGAGGAGAAGATCGCATTGTTTTTATTATTTTGTAGGTAACTGCATGGAGTGGAGAGGAGGAGGGGGGTGCGTGTCAACAAAATTACACCACCGAGGCTTGACAACGTGAAGCAGTCACACACAAAGCACATACATACACACACGCTCGCGCGCGCGCGCGCGCCCGCAGCTCTCCGAGCGCACAGCCGGGGCTGTGCGTCCGAGTGCGCCAGTGAGTGTGTGTTTTGAATTCAAATGCAGCAACACACCAGAGCTGCAAATGCGGAGACTGAGAAGAGGATGGCGACTTGGGAACGGAAGCCCTCAATTATTGTCTTTTTCTCTTCCTTAGCCGAGTCCAATGTATTCACAAGATGCCTCAAACCTGGCTCAGGTTATCCCGGCTCTCTCTCACACACACTGCCCCGTGATAAGTAGCCCACTTCTGCTGTATTCCTGCCGTGCCAGGCACAATTGGCAACATTAAGCGAGGTAATAATCATGAAGATGCACCTACCATATTGACTTCAGAGACCATGTCTATGCTGGCTATGTCTATATTCATCCCCACAGCCACCGGGGCACCTGTGAAGGAAAGGAGGCATTAATACAACACATATGAATTATTCTCTCATCATGTAAATTTAACAAATTCGTGACGCGCACACAGGTTCCTCTCTGCTCCCCTCCACCTACAGGAGACTTGTGCACCATCAGTCTGAGCAAAAAAAATCTTCATGTTTAACACGCAGATGAGCTTAAATGCTGCTAATTTCATATTTTTAGTGGAATGATCAAACATTGATGAACGGGATCGATCACGTTAAAAGCCTGTCTTATATCTCCTCATCAAATGAAATATGCTCATCATTCCTTAGCCTAATTGGAAAGGCCTATTTGGCTGTGAAGGGGTGATTATGTAAATTAAAGCAGATTTTGCGATTCATTAAACATGTATTGCACGTCAGGAGGGCGTGAAAACATGACATTCCGTTTTCAATTTGCTCGTTACCTCCGAAATCTGGCCTCAACCGAATGTCGTATCCTTTCATCAGTCTGTCCACTGTCTCTTTTACCAAAGGCATATTGCTCGGATCTTTGATATCCTTGACGCTGGGGAGAAAAAGGTGGTGTAATGCAAAATAGCTTATTAATATCACACGCTAGGCACGCTTTAACAGAGGCTACGTGACATGCAGGATACAATACAAAAAAATAATAATGCAAACGTTTACCTTTGAGCCCAGACAAAAGTCACTAGTAAGGAAAAAGTAAAAATCCCAAAGTGGTTTTTCCTGATCCTCCCCATCGCAACAGTTTTTGAGGTGGTTTCGGGATGCGAGTGAGGAGAGCGCACATCCAACTTACTCCACACAGTGCAGAGGAGCCAATGAGGGGCGCATGCGTGCAGCCAGCCCAAGATCAAAGAGTGGAGACTGATGATGGTGGATGAGCAGTTTCCATTGCAGAGAAAAATATTAAAGGGACAAGTGGATGTGCGTAATGAAGAAACAAGCGTTTATGCCAGGAGTGAAAAGAACAACAACTGTGTTAATTTTAGGCTCATTTTATTGTTATATGTTTGTTACATGGCAGATAAGTTTGTCTAAATGCTGACAAGGTCAAACAGCTGGATGCACTGTGGGGTTAAAATGCTCAGATTGTCAAGTTAAGAGCAAGTTTATATCTTGTGTTTTCACGTTATCAGTCATGTTCAGTGGCTAAAAAGAGAACAACACTCCATCCATTTCAGGTAGACACTTTCTATGCAAACACCTGAGCCCAACAATCATGCACCGTCAATACAAAAATAGAAAATTAATGTCAGCAACACCCAGAGGTATTACATCCCACTATTCCCTGAAATGTTTCCAGAGGACCTGCAGTAGATCTGAAAATGCAAAAGGTAGCATCAGAGCGCCACAGCAGAAAGGTGGGATGGAAAACACAATCCCACAATTCATTTTCTCAGGTTTGAGTACATTTTTGAAGCCGCAAGGAGGGATGCAAGCCTCCTCTAAATTGCCTTTGATCTTGTTGTAGTGGGAGCTGTGCTTCTGTAGAGGGCAGGCTTCTGAAAGCATTGGTTCACTGTTGCATCACCACCAGTTACAGCCATCATAGATTATATCATCCACTTCTATTTGATGTGTTTCTTGGTGTGTGTGTGTGTGTGTGTGTGTGTGTGTGTGTGTGTGTGTGTGTGTGCGTGTGCGCGCGCGCGCGTGTGTGTGCGTGCATGCGCGCATGTATGTGTGTGTGTGTGTGTGTGTGTGTGTCATGCATACTGTATGTGTGTGGTGTCTGTCTCGGTCCGGGGCCCGAGAAGTTGTTGTTGTGTGTGTGTGTATATGGCGGGTTTAAAGTGATTGAGGCCTGTGAAGGGCAGCTCTTCAGCCACTGATCAGAACACAAGTGGGCAGTGGTCACAGCCTGTGAAATGAATAGATGTGCGGCAGGAGTATAAATGAGTTTCTGATTAATTTCTGTCAGATGAGAGCAGAGTGAATGCTGAGAGCTTGTTCAGAGAGGGAGAGAGGAGGGTGAGGTGAGGCTGGCTGGATGCTGAAGGTCTCTCTGGTTGCACGTGCCCTTTTCCAGGTCCTCTTAGTTTTCAAGATCCACGTCCCTGCGAGAGCAGAAGCAGAGCACAAAATGTGAGAGGAGCATACCGAAACCTCTGTTTCCACAGTCAGAGTCGCTCTATCTGCAGTATACTGCACAGCCCAAACTGTTACTGTGCTCCCTGTCCTCTCAGTGCCTTCTTCAAAAGTACCAAGCCAGGGACGTGGTGAAAATATGTAAAGGGAATAGATGTGATGCAGCTGTTCTCATGCTCTCCATCTTGTCTCTCTCATTATTCTGCACAATGTTATAAACAAAACAACCATAAAAATTCTCTGACAGGAACATGAGATGCATGATGAGCAGATTTGCACTCCCCAATGTTACATAACAGATCTCCCTCTCTCCCGTCTCGCTCCCTCTCTCTCTCACGCTCTCTCTCCCTCTTTTTGCACTATTTCTCTCTCTTTCTTTCTTGGACATGGAGCTTTGTGTTCTATAAGTGGCTCACTTATAAGCGGGAAAGTGAATAGTCGTTTTTTCATGTGGTTAATGTACAAAGTAAGCTCTGGTTGATTTCGCCTATGAGACCAACTCCCCATGGAGAAACAGTGTTGTCATTAAAACAACTGGGGTTTTGCCAGCCCTCAGGTAAACCTTATATAAAAGAGGAGAGAGCTTGATGCATATTTTTCTTCTCAAATTAACTGAATGCTCAGCCCCTTTTGTATTGTAAATCTATGATGATGATAAAAGCCACAGTGCTGGCATCAATGCAGCAACAACGCCACCTAACATCATTCTCTTCTTTTTTTTTCTCGCCTACAACTCCTGGGGCTTTTTCAGCATTAGAAATTATTGATGTTTTTACTACCTAGATAAAAGTCTTTGACAAAATTTGCGGGTAGTTATTGTTCCACTGAATCTATCATAATTAGAGAAGAGGTTTGTGGCATTGAGATACAAAGTAAGTGTGCATAAACATCCTTTGTCCATTGTGAGATTTTTTTTTCTCCTGTTTGCTCATTCGTACAAGAATTCTGGAAACTCTCCAAGTAGGTCCCTGCTATTTTTGCCATTTTGCGTGAAAGGCTTTTTGGATCTGCTGCCTTGTCACACACAACTCAAAAGGTTAAAGGTTAAACTCAAAAGGGAAGCTTACTTTTAAGACACAAACATGTGTATAAATACTAGTAGTATGTATCTTTAGGTCAGTGGCTCCAAATATAAGAATTTGGGTCCCACAAAGACTATGAGATAAATGTAAAAGTCTGCAAGGATAAAAATACAGTATTTTTGCTATAAAAAGATTATATTTACTTTTTCAGATTTTTCTTAAAATTGTAAAATATCTAAATCTAAATATTGTTTAAGTGAAACAGTCTGAGACGCAAAAGAAGAAAAAGAAAAGCTAGTAGTATTCTGTATCGTCTGTATGTCTCTCAATACTTCCTTTGCTGACTGCAGCACTCAGCTGCAAGCCCATTTGTTTCAAGTTAAATTCATAAATCTTCAAAAACGCATCACAAACATATAGGTAATATATAGTGGGGTCTAAGTATTTTCCAGAAAGACCTGGGCACTGCAGCGTCGCACTAGCAAACACCACTCAAACAGGAGTAAATAATACATTTGTTGGGGACTATTTTCAGCTGTGGATTATAACACATTTGGTGATCTAGTATTTATGGTGGTGGGATGGTGCATGTGGGAACCACTCAAAATAAACTACAGTGCCCATGTTCACCATAATGAAAAAACATTTCACCCAGTGCAGCTGTGTGGCTCATCGATGTGTTTTTAATACTTTTTGTCACAATGGAGCATCATGGCACAGAGGAAAATCCTATCACGCTTTGGAAACTGAGACAACACTCGTGAGTAGGATCGATTCATTGCTGGTTTTGGTCTTTCCATGGAATTTGTTGTCAATAAGAAAAATCTGAATATCACCAGCCCTATCCTTTAAATGTCTGGACTTCTGAATGGCGCCTTTACCCTTGTAGATATACCAGGCAATACCCAGATAGATGTACAAAGATAACTGAATGTGGCTAGTGTACCTGGCCCTCTCCATGGTGTCCTTGGCGAGGTAGATGTACCAGTAGATGAGGTTGAAGAGGGCGAAGGCCAGGGGGAAGAGGACACGGGCATACATGTCGATGGGGCTGGTGCCGGCCAGCTGTGGGATTTGAGGAAAAGCTGAGCCCTGCTGGAGGAAGATCGGCAGTGGCGGAGCATCTCCTGGCTCACTGCGGCACACTGAGTGGTTTCTCCTCTTCAGGCCTTCCCGAGGGCTGCTGTCCGACTGGTGGGAGGGGGGCGGGGGTGATTTGGAAGGAAAGCAGGAGGGGGTGAGATGGGGTTAGTGTGGGTTTTATGGTGCACAATGTGAGAGAAAAAAAGGGGTTTCTGCGCTGCAAGTACATACAGTATACTGTATGCCAATCTCAACATGCTGCAGTCATGTATACAATGTAAGTCATGTTTGTTCCCACAGGAGCTTTCTCTCAATGGCATGCCAACATCCCTATAGAACGCAGCAGGTAGTTTGCTGGATGTCCATAGGATTGTTAGGAGATTATGCAGGAAGGAGTGCTGGAGTTGCTCTCTGTTCTCACACTGAGGCTATTTTTAAAGCATCTAACCATGAGCCCTACACGTGAGACAGATCCCAGGAGGATGCTGTGGTGGCTTACTGTATTAGCATAAAGCATATAGCTGGAGATGAGAGCACTACAACAGCACATATTACTATTTAATGTGTGGTGTGCCCTGAATGGCGAGAATGGAAAAGGCAGGGTGACTACTTGGAAATGCATAGAAAAAGACTTCCTATCTGTGGCAGGATTTCTTGTTCTCTGCATCTGAGTGTGAAGCTGCTGGCTTAGTGTTCATTATCAGCATCACTGCATCAAACTCTCTGCAACACTGAGGAGACTGTATCTCACCATTATTAGCTATGTAAATGCATTTGAGACACCATCTATATAAATACATGGCTTCTCAAATGTAAATCACACACTTTGTTCAAGTGATAGCAGAAGCTGATGTTGCTGAGCAGATTACGTTCATACCAAGTTTCAGAAAACACTAGACTACAGTAGAGAATAATACACTATAGATTTGCTACAGTCCACATGTTTGCAAATCTGACTGTAAAGATGTGTATGCATCCCTGGAACACGGTGCATTATTGTTTTTTTCGGATCCCTGACTTGCGTGACTTCTTATTACTGCAGACAAACAGGTTCTAATAGAAAAAAATGTGTGGAATATTCAAGAGGCCAATCTCTAACATTTTTTTTAATTTAAAGAATCAGTTCAGAAATTGAAGATTGATATGAGAAGATTGACAACACTATCATGTTTGTATGCTAAATTAGTTTAGCTTGACAATAAGATTGGAAAGGTGGGAGACAGCTTGCCTTGCCCGGGTGCTGGACATCTTGTCTAGCTCTTGGCAAGAAGATGAAAAAGCCCAATATTTTCCAAAATGTTGAATTATTCGTTTGACTTTTTTGTGCCTTTCATACCTCTGTTTTGGTCAAATATCACAATCCTCCCTGAAAAACAGAGCTATTCCCTGAATTATTACTGTTTCTACTTAATGTTCACACCCATTCAGAAATGTAATATATGACATACAGTATATGTCCCTATATCTATGTTGCCATAGATGTCACTTATATTATTATCACATATATACATATATACATTTATAACATATATGAAATAAAGTTTGTATAGATACATATATTTAAAAAATGTCTGAATTTTTATTTGGTGTAAGATGTTGTGACCATGTATGTTAATGATATTTATTTAATTTATATGCAAGGTTATTAAAACAGCATATATATTAAACAAATGTATATGTTTATATATGTTTTCTTATTAATTTCTTATTAATTTCAAAAATGCATTCTGGGAAAGTTGTCTCAGACTTTTGGACCATGCTATATATAATATCAATGTATATATGTCAATATATGAAATGGTTCCAACTTCTTATAGGTTTCATATATAATTTTTACATATATGTTTTTATTCCATATGTACATATATGTCATATATAGAAATTCAATATATGTACATTTGCATATGGGCAGACTACTTCACAATTTCCTGTTGTTTTATGTGTAATATATGAACTGAAATGGCAATCAAAAAGTGCAACCTTAACCATTACAGCTCTTTTACTTGTGGTTCTGATTCTACAAAACAATTATATAAAATTGGCACAGAAATGTTTTAATGATGACAGTGGATTTTAAGCTGGAATTCATCGTTCTTTGTAGACATAAAAGTAGTTCCTCACCGAAACTGTGTCGTCATCGTCGCTGCCGGTAGCCAACACCTCAAGCTTGTCTTGTCTGGCTCTTTGTTTCTTCAGACGGTTGGCCTGGAGGGTGGCAAAGTAGTTTACTGCTGCAAACTCAATGAGAGCCGACGCCACAAAGGCAAAGCATACAGCAATGAACCAATCCATGGCAGTGGCATAGGCCACTTTGGGAAGTGACTGACGGGCGCTGATGCTCAAAGTGGTCATTGTCAGCACTGTGGTGATGCCTAGAGGAAGACAAGAATATACATGCACTCTGACACACACATTCCACGGACATATTTTGATATCAAGTGTGATTAGTAAACATTAATTGTGAATATATACTGGTTGGAAGAGGAGCGTACCAGCAACTGTACGTGCAGGAACAGACTCTTTGTTAATCCAAAAAGAGACTTGTGACAACACAACAACCATTATGAGGGGGATGTAGGTCTGTATGAGGTAGTAGCCGAGCTTCCTCTGGAGGAGGAAATGGACCACCTGCACAGAGTAGTGACCTGCAAGATAAACAGCATGTGTGAAGAGAGCAACCCTGAGGGACATAGCAGGGTAGCACAGAACGGATGCCCTTGCCTGCCCTTGAAACAGAATAGCTGCTGAGAGAAGCATATAGATATATTGCTGCTGTTAGGACTGGAATAGCCAGCTAACTGTAAGGCAGCGTGCGAGAGACAAGAGGAAGGAAGAGAAGAAGGAAGAGAACAGGACAGAATTGAGGAGGCAAGGAGGAGGGAGCACAGCAGACATTTGGAAATGGGATAAAGTCAAGAGGAGGAAGAAGAAGCGAGTGAGGAGGGGGCAGAAGAAGAGCATGCAGTGTCACTATGCGTAACACTGCCCTGCTCCGCCTAACACATGCATGCAGACATTCACAGACTAAAAACACGCTGCATCATGCACACACATATACAGAGGTTGTCTCTCTCGCTCTCAGTGTTTTCTAAATGGGTATCATCTCTACGTTTTGGAGGCTGCCTCATCCTTTTCCTCTCTATTCCAAGAATATGTTGGGTTCACAGCAGGAGAGCACTTCTTCTTCTTCTGGTGAAAAAAGAAAATGCACACATACACATCACCCACATACACACTCCTCCATCCTTCTTCCTCTCTGTCAGTGCATTCACTGGGCTTTAAACCCTGTAGTTCTTTTTTAAGGCACACCGTACGCATTAGGCCTTGACCACTTAAGCATCTTAGATGGCTGCTCAAGGAAGTCTTTGCTTTTATATCGGCTCTGCTGCAGGAGAGTAGTGACACTAGTGCAGAGATTGAAGAGACTCATTTGACCTCGTTCTACTCACAGATTCATCAGCTCCTGAGTATTTTTTAATTACACTTTTAAGTGCGGGTACAACTGTAACAGTGTCCTGATATCAAGAGCAATGTGATAGCTGACGGTGAGCATTACCTGTATTTGATTTGAATATCTCACTGGACAAAGTCTGTCCCACCAGATCATACTGCAGAAGACTCATGGACTCCTTGGGACAATCAACAGATGCTATCGGCCCCTTCCTCCAGGTGAACATAATTTCATTGCTTGTGTAGGCATCTAAAAATGCAAAGACAATTTGACACTCGAAACGTTCAAATGTTGGACACATTTATGAATCTGGACATTTTTGGACATTATTATTTCTTGTGTTTATGAAGACTAACAGCTACATACAGAATACTTACAGCTTCCAAACCTGAGAGGACAGGCATGGCCATCCATGGGGAAGTCTATCAACCTCATGGGACATTCTGCACTGATTGTCAGTCTAACATGAAGAAGACACTGAAATCAGTCTCAGTTATTCATTTCAGTGAATCTCGTGTCTTATGAACAAAACAACAACTTTACTATCTAAGATTACCTCATAGTGTAGAGGACAGTCCCATTCTGCATGATGCGGAAGAGCTTGTTGGGTGTGGTCATATTATGGGAAATGGACTTCTTGGAGTTTCTGAAGAAAGTATCTGGTGTCCAGATCTTGTCCACCATAAGGTTGTTCAGCCGCAGGATTTCAGTGGGTCCCTCGAACTTAAGACGCTCATCAACCCACATTTGACGGAAGAACATGTCCATAGTGTACTCCTGATGCATGAACATCAGATATTAGTAGATATCTTATGAACCATATGTTCTACAAACCATGCCACCTTAAATTCCAGCTTTAAATTTAGATCTTTGCGGACTACAAAGATAGTAGTCCTGTCAGCATCTATAATATTGAAGATACATTTCAACTTTTAGTGGAAGGTGAGGAGAAATGACGAGGCAATGATGGATGCCACTCATCCCAGATAATCATTAATCACTCCATTCAGCCATTTCCTCTGTCTGACATGTTGTCATATTGATTTAGAGGCCATCAATAATGGAGTTATAGGGCTGGTCAAACAGATTAAAGCTCATTAGATGGTCTCATGGCAGATTGCCCATAAGGCAGGCATTCAGTGGTCACTGAAGCGCCGATATCTCCCATAGTCAGCACATATACATCTCCTTACAGAAGTAGTATCTTACCATCTCAACATCTGAAACTGGTCCAAAGCTGGTGACAAAGATGTCTGTTTTCACCTCTGTAACACCACCTGCAACAGTCATTAGCAACTGTACAGTGAACACAGTAACAAAAAAAATTTATGTCACAATGTACTTAATTTATCTTAAGACGAAGCTTTAGAAACAAGGATTTAGGATTTGAAGTTTGAATTACCTCCAGATCCAGGTCGCAGTCTGTTGTCATAACCATCCAAAAGTCGATCCAAAATGCGAGTGATGTTGTCTGAGTAAATCTTCTCATTTCCACTTACATTACCAAGTCTGAAAACAGAAAAAAAATTCCCAGGTTGAGTGTACTCTGACCCATGTTAACTTAAAGAAAGAAAACTTACCTTGTCCAGCAGATAAAAATAACTAAATTTAATAACAGGACAGCCATCCTGGGCAGCATTTATCACCAACTTTTTAGTCAACTCTCTAATCAACTCATACTTAAAAAAAAATCTATGTGAGAGGTCTTTATTGGTGTCGTTAAAGTGACTGGTAGGTATCTATAAGGACAAAGGAGGCACTAAAGCAGGAGCAGTAATCTAATTAACAGATTAGCAAATCCACTCCATTTTTAGACAAACAGGGGATTCTGTTGGTTTGTGATGCAGCTAAATTAAGATAATTAAAGTTGAATAAAAATGTGAAGTCAATGAAACATATCAATTGAAAAAAAAATAGTACTAATGATAGTTATGATACTGCTAGAACCCTATTGTCTGTCTCAGTTGAACAGTTTTTCTTGTTGTATTTCAGTTTTTCACACAGCCGGTGGCGCTGCAGCCACAATGTCGTTTACAACCGGAAATGAAATTCACACTGAGAGAAGAAGAAGAAGTTTCGAGCGAGTGAGGGGCAAAACAAGACGGGGAGATTTAACATTGCCAACAAACATTGAAACCAGTTTTAACTGAAATATTCTTAATGACAGTCGTGCGCACATAAACAGCGGCAAAGATTAACTGTGTAGCAAACTGTTCGCGTAACTTGTCTGCTGGCTAGATAGAGTTAGCTGACGTTAGCCGACCTGTTCGCCGGTGTGAAGCCTCAGCATGTCGGTGCACTTCGAGGAGAGGAGCGGTGTCGTCCCCTGTAAGACACCCTGGGGCTCCTGGTACCAGACCATGGAGGAGGTGTTCATCGAAGTCGATGTGCCTCATGGGACTTCTGCGAAAGAGGTCAGGTGCCATTTGGGATCTAGAGACATCGAGCTGCGCGTCAAAGGGCAGGAAATATTCAAGGTGAACGTCACTTTTAACTCCGTAGTGAAAGAAGAGAAAGTTTAAATGTGGCATCCAATCTAAGCCGATACTATTTACATTTTCTGAAATCTTTGTCTGCCTTTTGGTAGGCGTAAAGTAAAATCTGTGATTAAATCGCAAACAAGCAAAGTCTGGCAGAGAAAAACACCTTGGTTCTTATACAGTTTGACGTGAGGTATAAGAACCACTGTACACTGTAAGTGGGAATCAAAACAGGAAAAGCACAGGTGTAATTAATAACCTTAATTATGATTGTATGCCATTTAGGTGAGCCAGTTCCAGGATTTGGTATTGTACATGCTGACTCACTAGAAAAGCTTCCTGGGACATTTAATGGAACAGAGCCATTGCTGATGTTGGTAGGTCCATCTGTGCCTTTCCTCTATGATAAATCAGAATCCCATATGAAAAAGGTCTATTGGACAATGTCCAGATTTAAAATGAGTCTCTTCTCCATTCATTACAAAATCAACAATTTCTTTTCAGCTTCAACAATTGGAGAAAATCAGGAATATCATCGGCCTTCCTTGTTCTAGTCCTATTCAACCCTGATGAGATTAATCTGAAGAACAACTCCCTGTGACTTTAAATTCATTATTCATGAAAGAGGAAAAAAGGAAGGGAATGCTCAAAGTTGGACTTGAGTTCTGCCCAATTCATAATAGTCCCTCTTATTCTGAACTATACTGAAATCCAGAGATGGATCCATTAAATCCATGGATCCATCGTCGGTGACCAGTTTAATGCTCATGCAAAACAGTGTAGCAACAGAAAGATATAAATGCTTAAACCTTTGTTAATATAGACACATAATATTGTTAGCTCAGACAGATTCTCAAAAATTCAACTGTTAGCTAAGTGGCAACTCCCGATTTTGGAGTCTGATTGTCTGTCTGCTCCTGAATTATTTATATTCCTTTTTATCTATAAGGGTCCACCGATGAAAAGAATCAAAGATTATTCATGAAAGTATTCCAAGTTGTGAATATTGTCAAGTGAAATCCATTGCATACTGTCGGGCAACTTCTTCACTTCTTTCAATATGATAACTATTTTTTAAAGTTCTGGTTGGGGGGCCTTTGGGTATCCTTGTTTTTGTCCTATCACTTTGCCATCTGTGCTGTGACTGTTGTTTGACTGACCGAAGTCATTGATCTCCTAGCTTAAAACCCTGGACAGAAAAAGCTAAACTTGTTGACATCCATGGGTAAACCCCATGAGATAGCTCGGGCCTTGAGCCTTCGGGAAGGCCTAGGCTAGTATAATAACCTTTGGTCCCACCCACTATGAATCAAAATGTGATTGGGTAATTCGCCTGCCACTTTGTGGCTATGAGGGCTTCAGGCCTTCTGCCCGACTTGAAATCCTAGCTAGCTAACCTTTTCTATGGCTAGGCAACAAAAAAAATCTGATTGGATAACTTTATTTTCATGATTTTAGGACATTAACCCTTTCATTTCCTTAATGCAGAATTAGAAGAGAATAATCATTAAAGGAAAGAGATTAAATATAACATTTAAATGCTGATATGTTAGGCCTTCTCTGAAGGCCTAGAAGGCCCTCAGGGTTCCCCACTGCTGAATTCATTAGCTCATAACAAGTTGCTACAACTGCTATGTGAACACATACATTAACTTTACAATCTTTTCTTTTTACATTCTGTCAGGGAAAGTTGTTTGGCACAACCGTGTCTGATGAGGCCACATGGACACTAGGTAGGTTGCATAACTCAAAGTTACATGCTTAGACTTCAGTAGACAAAACACACCTTCATCTCTTTCCTGTTTTCTCTGGTCTCCATCCTCAGAGGACAAGTGTCTCATCCGGATCATTCTGATGAAGGCCAACAGAGAGGCGGGGAACTGCTGGTCCTCACTGCTGGAGGGGGAGTACTGTGCAAATGCCTGGGTTCAGGACCAGATGCAGAGAAAGCTCACACTGGAGAGGTTCCAGCGAGAGGTTAGTTTGATGTAGTGCCATTTGAAGTGTCATGGTGTATCGTGCCAAGTCAGTTTTATAAGTAATCAAATGTACACCTGTCTCCCTCTACATATGTCCACATCGCTGTCACTTTGTTAGCTAGGTAGGTACCACTTTCTTGTAAGACACCCATTGTTAAAGTTGCAACAAATAGCTTTAGTACTGGTTTCAAATTTTGGGTTGGCAGGTTGTGAAATATCCCTGTGGCTGGTGTTTGTCTTTTCTGTTTGGTAATAATGCAGTTATAAATGGTCCATTAATAAATGCTAGGGGTGTAACGATTCTGCGTCCATGATCTTGTGTCACAATACCATAAGACGTTATCCCCCTTACCCCCAACTCCCCGTCTCCCCAACCCACTGCAGCTTGTTGAGCTCTCATTATGTTACTTATATAAAAAAAAACTAATTTTTTCATTTTTCAACACACAAAATAATATCCCCTAATAAATACTCACGGGTTTCTCTCTTTCTAATAAGCTATCAAATCTGTAGTTATAAATGTTAATGAGTCATTAAAGAAGGGCTTCAATCATCACGTCTGCAATCCTAGGTGTTAATAAGATGCTCATAAATGGATTTAAATCCAGATTGTCTACAGCCCATTTGAAAAAATAAGTGATCCAATGATCTAATCAGTCACAACCTTGCAGCCCTGAAGTTGTTCATATTAATGGCTTATAACTCATCTTTAAAGCCTGGTTAATGATTTATTAACAATTTATAAAGCCATTATGCACAGTGTATAAACCCATTAGAAAGTATGCCCTAAGTGGAAAGTGCTACCATCAACTTAAATCTTTCCTGAGATATTGGTTTCACTGTTGTGGTTTGGGAATGTTTTGAGAGGAGCAAAGCCATGGTACATGTGGTTTTTTTCCATTTACACTTAAGATGTTTTTCAACTACTTCTTGGGGTGGATTTGAATTGATATGAATTCACCCTGAGTATCACAGATTTTTATCAATTTTACAGTGTGGATTTGTAAAAGGAATGGAAAATGTATGCTAATCTGGGTAAGTGGAAACAGGCTTACTTGTTATTCATTAACCGTCCTCCTCTTTACCAGAATCCTGGATTTGACTTCAGCGGTGCAGAGATCTCCGGGAATTTTGCTGGTGGTGGACCTGACTTTTCCAGTTTACAGAAGTGACTGTTGCTATGATGAGGAAAAGAAAAGTTCTCGAGATGTCACTTCTGTCTAACAGTGTTGAGAACGTCTATGGCACGGCAGCAGAACAGTGGATCGGTCAGACTGTCAGCAACGAGAAGCCAAAAGATTTGCCTTCAGAACTCTTGAACTTGACTCTTGGGTGGTCTACAAGACATTATTGTTCAAGAGAGATAATTTGTTAAACACAGCCAGCCCTTTCTTTCATCTGCCATTCCTTGGCTGTGTAGAACTTTGTTAAGCCAGATTTGGCAAGTTACATGGCCCATTATACAGGCTGAACAATAGTTGATTGGGAATGTTTAATTTGTTTTTAAAAAGCCTTTGAGAGTGATGTCTTTTAGTAATGAAACGAATGCATACAGCAATAGCTTTTCAATAAAGTTTTATTGAAAGGTACAAGTACATAGGTTAACCAGATGGTTGTATTCAATTAGCCATTTTGAATTTGAGAACACATTTTATTTTTCTCATTAAAAGAAACTTCTACTAGACAGGGAAACTGGCAAAGAAAATGCAATACAAATTCCAATCCACATTTCCACTACAACGACTTTTTTTTTTAGTGTTCTCTGCATAATTGACAACTGAAATCAATTCATACATGTGGTACTCTGTGTCCACAAATTAAGAATCGGTGAAAACAACTCATCTGGAACCAACATTTCAGCTCTAATAGTATGGTAAGCCATACATGACGGGATCGTCACTAGCCTCACTTCACTGGAGAAAACCAGAGCTCCCTCGCTGTATCAACTTAAAAAAAACAAACAAAAAATCATCACCTTGGGTAGGAGTGTGCATTCAGGACAGTTTAGCAACCTAGGGTGGGAGTTAAGGATTTTGGGCCCGATTTCTTGGTTCCATTTTTGCTGTTCACAAAATCCTTCTCCCTCCTCTTCCACATGGTGGACTGAGGACCTAGGTGGTTCTATACTTATTAGCTTAAAACCAGCAACCCGTTCCAGGAAAAACCAAACACCTTGGTACGGATTTAAACAAGAACATACTGTACACTTGTGCAAGCAACTCAACCAGGAAAGTAAAACTTAGCAGGATGGCAGTAGATGAACCTTTCTCACGAAGCATTACTCCTTGGGAAGCTGAAATACAGTGTGCTTCACCTATGTATGATGACAAACAAACTTGAGGAAAAACTGCAATATTTTTAGCTTTTCCTTAAAGAAATCCATCATCACAGATGAAGATCTGTAAGGAAAATAACTGGAGCTGTACATGGGTGAGCTTACTGCAAGCCAGTCGCCCAAAAGTTATATCCAATCAGGAAACAAAGATAATTTGGGGACAGTTGAAATTTTTCTCTGCATGCAAGGTCACCCATTCGTACCCCCAGATTTTAACAAGCTGACTCAGGTATGGTGGGAAGATGAGTGATCTTGTAGTAGCTGTGCTTCAGCTGACGTGCAGTTCTTCCTGAAATAGTCCAGCGAAGTCTTTGGCGGATAGGCTTGGAGCACTTGGTGGTGGCATATTCAGCCAGGCATTTTCCAACTAACTCCCGCACACAAACCAGGTCCCCATCTTTGATCTGCACAGAAAAAACACACACACATTAACAATAGGCAATCTTTGGGCTCTAATCAAACAAAGCTATACCAAAACCAAACCAACAAAAAAATATATTACTTTGAAGTTGTTTTTGTGCATCACACAGATTTAAGATTGTAAAAATAGATGGTGCCTACATTCAGCTGCTGCTGCAGACTTTTCAGGGCCTCTGAGACTGTGTCAGTGTGCTCAGGATCATGTTGTTCCTGGGCCTCAAAACACAGCAGAGCCATGGCAAGCAGAGATGGCTGCAGAGAAACAGAGTATACATTCCTAATCACAAAAGCTGCCGACACAGTAATCAGGTTTGTCTAAGAAACCTGGCATAGAAAACATGACAATATTTGATGATGATATGAGATGGCCTACTTTATACCTGAACTACCACTAAAGGACATTACCATACAACATGAAAGCTGTTATGATTATTATGATTATCATGTCAAATGGTTAACAAACCTTGTAAATTTTTATTTTTATGAATTCTTCTAATACAATATCATTTAAACTAGAAATAGGCCATCTTTTAAAATGCTGGGAGACCAGTTATTTTGACCTACCTTTATTTTAGAGAAGACAAATGAGCAGTGACAGGCTTTCAGCTGAGCCTCCAGTCTCTCAAGACTCAGTATCTTCTTGCTGAAAAAAGAAAATTCTTTTAGTGTCAAGACTGTAACTTATATATGAAATGGATGTGCGGCAGAGCTCACTAGATTAGACATCAGTCTGCTTCAGGCAATTCAAAAATGACAATGAAAACTAATTTATATTTTTTAACGTAAGTACAACACCATAGTAACACAGAGGATTTTCAAATTTGTTTTCTAACATGTCAAGTGACATGACAAGTGTCTAAAAATCTTCATCATTTCAAATAGGACTGTGCCTGTTCACTTTAAAAATATTTTTGGCTAGTGTTCTCTTTAAAGCCAAATATGAGAAGACACATTTTAGTAGAGTAAATATAATCTTGTTGAGTCATGGTTCAGCCCTGCAGGTTGATGTGACCGTCCGTCCTTACCTCTCAGCATCGAGCTGCTCCTGGATGTGGCTGTGGAAGAGGCGGAGAAAGCGGAGGGCTGTGGGGGCCTTCACCTTCCAGTAGAGCTTCTCCATGATGATCTTCTCCATCCTCATCATATCAGACACCGTGAAGCGATTCTGACTAATGCGGATCAGGTCATTGGCTAGAGGCACGTTCTTCTCCTCTTCTGACGACTTCACAGCAATGTAGAAGCAGCACAGGCCAACGCAGGACAGGTGCTTTGGTTGAATCTAAACAGGACAGCATGAGAAATAAGATTTTAAAAAAAACAAACACTTTTTAACAAATTTAGCATCGTCATCGAGGTGAATATTATATTACTGGCATTAATGTGTACAAACCTTCATTACTGAGAGGAAGCGATCCAGCAAGCTAATGGCCAGTGAGAAGGTCTCTGAGCTGAAACCAAAGAACCTGGTCAGAGAGAGCAGGTCCTTCACCTCCAGCTCCCTCAGTCTGGCAGTCATCCTGAGGCCATTGTCCTGGGCGCTTTCGATGAGCCTCAACCCGCTCAGCTTTGGTTGGTATCGGCCCTCCAGATCTGTTAAGGCCTTCAGCTGAACTGCAAAGGGCTGTGCTCCAGGTCCTGCGACTGTATCAATCATCTGTGCCAATACAAAAATATAGCTGAATGATACTGACTAAATCAAATTAAATCACAATATTTTTGATCAGATGTCTCAGCACTGATAATGTGACAACATTATGTGTGTGACTATAAATTAGTTTACTTATAGGTGCCAGGTGATATGATCTCTTAAGAGAAAAATATTTTGAAAAACTAAACATAATGGGGATATGACAACCAAAACGTCCAAGGTAGGGAATGTAATCACAGTCAAATAAGTTATAAATTTGCATCTGTGAACTAAGACCAGAAAAGGACTATTCAGATAACCAACAACATCCAACCATCAACAAATCTCCTTCTAAACAAAATGTCGAGTCTACCAATACAATTTACACCACTGTTCAATCAGGGAAAATGTATAAAATAAACCTGAATCTCACAGATGTTAATATTTTATACCATATAGACCCAAGATACAGTATCTTGCTAACAGCTAACAAGTTTGTTTTAAATTCTCCAAATGGTTGATTCATTTTATAACAGCTGTACTTCGACAACAAATTGTTTAACACAGTTCAGAAGATCACATTAATAAAGGCTCTAGTAAGAACAGATCAGGACAGGTGGTATGTGTTGCTCAGGAGTAGCTGAGACATGGGACTGCTTCCAAATTTGTATGTTATCCAGTGACAAGCCTCTCCCCAGCAGCTGTCATTGACCTGGACTAGACAGGCGATCGTACCACACGAGTACGTAACATGGATAAGTCAAACAAAGTTCTTCACACTTTGCAATACAATTTGATCACATTTAGGTTATTTCATGTTTATAAGAATATATTTCCCTTAGATTTAAGACGGATTTGGACAGTCTGGTCACAGCATTAGGCTTCATATCAAATGACCAGGCCGTGTGTGTGGCAGGGCAGGACCGGCGTAATGTCGGGACATGTCCCTGCCGCACACACTAATGGAGAGCTATCACACCACAGGATAACAACAAACCCAAGTGAGGTAACAAAATTGAAACTGTAAGACTATGGCTTGAACTATAAGACACAACACTGTTGGCATTGTGTTTGTTTAACGTTATGCTTGATAAAGGGGAAGGCACGGAAAATGACAAACTAATTTGATGTTAACGACGTAGCCGTTAGCCACAACCGCTAACGCTAGCTAATATCGATTTTCATTGCTCAAAGCGTGAGGTTAGTTTCTTATAAGCTTCTGATTGACAAATAATAACACGATTTGAGGATATCAATCCCCAAATACCACTGTAAATCAAACATATGGTTAGTTAATGCGACACATAGGGAAGATTGGTTTACTTACCTTGAATCAAGTTACGCTGCCTTTATGAAAAATCGGCAGTGGGAAAAAGCCTCCACGCGCTTTAAATAAGCGAGTGAAAAGAGGTTTAAAACACAAAAAAGTGTAAGTATGAACTTTCGCTAAAGAAAGTTTTAAGCATAGGTTAATTTCTGCCTATGCACACCCCCCTACCCTTGGCGTAAGGCGATGGGGAAAAGGGCAGTTTACGTATTAATGCAGGCATAAAACCAAGCCCATGTCCAAACACGGTGAGCTTTCATTGGTTAATGATGGATGACGTTACTGATTCTACATTTCAATTGGATATATTTCCAGCCATGAACGATTAAGTCCCGCCCTTTAAAGTCTGGAGGACCAATCGCAGGTGGGTAGACGGGACATGACGGAAAATGTTACGTTGGTAACGAGAAGTATGTTAAATTGATAAATCAAAATTAGGCTACTTTTATTTTGAACTGTCAAGTGGCACAATAGATACAATATCAAATGTCACTATTAAGTTTCTTAATTATTCTAGCGTTTAATTAAAGAGGCAAAGAAAACACGTACCTCACAGCAGAGGGGGTAATAACATAGAAAACAGCAAAATCATTGAATTTTCTCTATAACTGTGCCGTATTTCTTAAAATTGTTAAATACCAATTGTTTTCATAGGCATAGGCATTATCAAAGGCATTATACTGCCCCTGCTTCTTTTTAAATGGACGCTAGCAGCTACTAGCAGGTTTCTGGAACAATCTGGAAGGAACCTGAACCTGCTGAGACCACAGTTTACCACAACAGCTTTTCTGCTGACTTCTTTGGACTTCTCTGTCTACAAGTGCAGGAGAGAACAAGACACAGATTCAATAAAGAAATTCTTTATTACACAAGGATATACAAATCTGCAAGTGGGCCCACTCAGGCTCCCTATACAGATCTACTGACATTAAGAGATTTAATCCTGAATTTATATACATCCAGGCTTTTTTCATGTAACAGTAGTATATATAGATTAAATTTAAAACTAAGAAATACTTTCAACTAGATCTGTTAGACACAACATAGGGGCTGACATGTAAGCATGACAGGGCACCTTTTATAATGACTAAATATGTACTATGATTGATTTAAAGTGCTTGTAAATCATAATATATATTTCACTCTATAATATATATTTCACAGTGTAAACTGTCATCAGACAAAAACTACAGGCATAACATGGCAGATGAGAGAAAGTAGCACATTTAGTACAAAAACTGAAATTTTGGTGATGCAGATCTTTTAATACTTGTAGGAATGAAGGTTAAGATCCATGCGGAGACCATGCTACAAAGCACTGCTTAAAATTTTAAAGGAGAGTTTAGTAGACATGGAAGACTGCAGTCCGACTCACTTCCAGGGATGTTAAGTGCATTTCTATAAAACTGTTATTTCATATTGTAAAAATAATAACCTTGACTGTTAGTCTGTGATCTTTTGATGTGGTAGAAAGTCTTCTAATTCAAATTCCTTCCTGAGGTTAAGGAGCACGCAGATGGAAGACTAAAGAAGCTATGAAAAGGAAAGAAAAACCATGTCATTTATCTGGACAAGCAACTCTACATATTCATATTAACATCACAGGACAAACCTCAACAAGATAAGTACAAATGGATTTTAGTGCAAATGATAACAAAGTTTAATAAGCATTTTGTTATTTATCCCCTTTGTTGCCACTGACTGAAGGCAAAAGCAGAACTGAATTCAATGGATAACGCTGTTACAGAAACACTGTTCAAGTATCAGAAAACCATGTTTGGGTATGTAATGATGACAAAAGGTGAAATATGAAATGCTTTGAATCATACAAATGATTGAGGTGAAGGGATGTCTCAGAACTGAGACAATTAAGGGGTATGGGTTTAGCTAACCAACAGATGAACTGATGCTCTATTTGGTTTATCATTGTCATTCTTTATTTGAATGTAAATGAAGGCAAAAATATTTGCTCATTTCCAGACTCACCGTAAATAAATTCAATTATTTTATTTAGAAATTTGCATAGAATGAGGGTTAGACACTTAAATTATCTCACCCCAGACTACCAACAATTAAAAAAACTATTGCCAACATTTTTATATACATTATTAGACATTCTATATTTAAAAAAATATTGCAGACCATTCCACTTCAGTCAGTAACTGACTGTCTCTCATAAGTCCCGTCAGTGTCTCGCTGAGAAACAGACTTCAATTTATAACAGGAGATGAACACACATTCATGGAGAGAACACGAAAAAACACAAGCTACATCTTATGAAAACAGTCCATGGATTTGTTATTATGTGTCTAGCAGAGTCAGCAATAGGAACAAATTAAATACACTGAGCAAAGCTACCTTTTTGATCCATAAGTACACAGCGGCTTATAGCCATCCCATTATTCAGGCTCACATACGTGCATAGTCACTGTGTCACTGAGTCCACACATACAGTGTCAGTAAGTTATGCCAGATATGACAGTCTCTTTTTCCCATGCTGATGGCAGACACATTCCTGGTTCCCTGGATGTTTGATCCAAAAATCAACTGAAAGGGGAAAAGAAATAAGACAAAATATGGAAAAAAAGAAAAAAAGTGCAGGATTTGAGGTATGGTAGAAATCAAAGGAATAAAGGAATGAAAGAGGAATGCAACAGTGTTTGGGTTGTAACTTCTTTAAGCATCCATTTCCAATACATTTCAGGCTATGTTCGGTCTGGCAGGCCAACTTCTGATTTTGACAGTTTAACATTTACGTCAGTTCATGTAAAAAAAAAAAACCTCATGGAAACCAAAATCTTCAAAGTAGATGTAGGCCACATTCATAGGTGGACTGAAATCATATTAAAACTGAATTCGTAGAGATGTTTCTCAATCTGAGTTTAAACTGTCTTTAAGGTCATATCCAGCAAGACACATAACACTGACACCATGTCTGGAGCATGGTTAACCAACCATGACTGTACTGCCAAAAATGGTTGCAATATATTGACTTTTTCTGTCACTGATGCAGTCTGGAGAGGTGGAGAAGTCCTGCACTGCAACTAGATATTTGTATTGTGTCAAGAATGAGAATATTTCTACATTCACAGAGACTTTAGGTCCTGTTTAAGTTGCACGCTGGAAAAACACACTACTATTTTGTCTACTACAACCAGAAAAATCAATCCAGTGGCAGTCCATCACTTGCAATATACAGTGCGAACAGTCAGTCCTAAAAGATATGAGGATTTGAAATGAATGCCTGTAGTCTGAGCGAAAACTTCTCTCAAACTTAAAAGTTAAACAAATGTGTAGACTAGTATTTAATAAAAATGTACGCAGTTCCAGATTAGAGAGTGTTAGAGAGAACTGCCATACATTTATGACAATAAAAAAATGCATCATCCTATACACATCAGTTACCTTGTTGGTCTGCTAGGTCTAAAACAGGGTTATATGTACACTCTTGCCAAAAGAATCACTAGCTGTAGTAAAATCACCGACTGCAGAAGTAAGTTCAAATCACATCTTGGGCTCAGTGTGCCATTACACTGGCATAATGCCTTTGGTATTTTCACTTATGTTGTAAAGGCTGTTAAAGCCAGTGAAAACTCCTGTTAATAGTGAAGGTTTTTGCAGTAACCATGCTTTAATTTCTTCATATTTTATTACATTTTACTAATCATCAAGTCAGCTTTGTGTTTGTGTATTTTCAGGTCTAATCTTGAAATCTGTGTAGGGAAATTTCTGAACATACAAAATTGATCCTGACACAATGTCTCCACCTGCAGAAATGATTATGTTTCTATGCGGGATGTCTGAGTATCATCTGCAGTGGGACCAGCCGAATGTAAACAGAAGTGCCCCTGCCTGAGATACAGTCTGGCAGGTCAGCCCGCAGAGACATAAGCATCAGGTTGTGTCATGCAAGCTGTGACCCGTCCTACTGTGTCTGGGCACACAGTGTCAGTCTGAATCTGTCCCTGTATCAGTTTCTGAGCCAGCATGGCTTCTGGGAAGATAACGCTATCTCATTAATCACATTGTACACCTCCCCGCTCTGTCCAAGCAACTCCACATAGACTGTCTTTGAGAATACATGTCTTGTGAGTAAAATGTTTGTGTGACATTTGACCATTTAACCTTGATGAGCTTGAGAGATCATCATGTTTTTACTTTTTAGTGGCATTCATGCTTGCTCTTAAACTCATGGTGTCCTAAAGAAATCACTTGAGCAGGCAAATCAAATACATGCAGAAAAGCAGCAGACTTACTTCTTCTTGTCCTTGTCCTTCTTGAACGGCTGTGAGCAGCCTTGCAGTGCCTGTCCCATCAGTGTCTCAGCTGCAACCTTTCTTCTATTGAAGGCATTCGTCTCCTCCTCCAGTTCTCGTCTTTTCTCCTCCAGATTCTTCTTTTCATCCTGGTGCATCCGCTTGAGCTGCTCAAACCTCTCATGAAGCTACAGAAGATGATGATGGGACATGGTACAATGTGAGACAAATCTAATATGGTATATTTTCCTTGAGTGTTTATTTCATGACGATGTCAATCCTCACCTCTTTTTCCTTTTCTTTCAGCTCTGCTTCTGTCTCCTTCACTTTGTTGACAAACATTTGCCTCATTTCTTCCTCTTTGCGCTGCAGCTCCACAAGGAACTCCTTCCTCTTGGCTTCATATGTCTCCTGAAGGCTAAAGATCAAGATAAAAGCAACGTTAAGTTCAGTCAGATGCCCCATATGGACAGGATTAGTATCCAGGAGCTGACTGATTCAGCTGTTCTTGAATTCAAATTTATCTTAATTGTAATATTTGTTTACAAGATGGGGGATTAATGCATCACACACATTTGACCCATTTAGATCAAATATCAAAAGAGGCTACATGAAATATGGTCAACATCTGACCTGACACTTGATCAAAATACTGATGAATAATGTTTGTTACATGTTTACAAAAATAAAACAATATACCTCAAATTACCAATAATAGTTCCCATAAAATTAGACTAAATGACCAAATAAGGTCATCAGGCTGCATAATCGATATTCTCCACTCACTCTAAATTACATGAATAATAGTAACTCTAAAACAAATATGTATGCATCTTATATCTTTTAGGACTGACTGTCCACAAATGTATGCATTTCTGCGTATATAAATAAAATAAACACAGAACACAGAGAGAGATTAGCATCACTGGATATGTCTGTGATAAAGATAGTTGCCTAATTTACCCTAGAAGAATTAATCTAATCTGACTAGTGTTCAGAGGGGATTATTTTATTTACATCTCACCAAATTATATAAACAGGAATGAATTTTAATGTTCTGTTTATCAATAAAGTCATTTATCAGCACAGTTTTAACATCATAACACAGCAGGGGTTTTGGTATTTCCACTGAAGTAAATTACCCAGATACATTGCAACACTGCTATGTGTAATTTCACCTGAACGACTGGCTGTCTGGGTCTGTGTCCTTGAAGCCCATCTCTTCCAGCTTGCAGCGACGGTAGAGTTCATAGTGTCGAGCATGTGTTTGCTCCCGGAGATCCTCCATGTTCACACGCAGTAGCATCTCCCTCAGCTTCACAAAATCACAATGGTTTTCATTCTCCACTGGAAAAAAAAAGAAGCTTGGCCATTTAACCTTTTGCATTTACTGAATATCTGAAATAACAACTCTGAGTTTATTGTGCTCACGTAAACAGACAATCGTGATATTATGTTTATAATGCAAATGAAAAACTATAATAGCTCAGCAGCAGGCATCTGACTAACCAGCTCTGCTGTCTGAGAGACTTTTATGATGCTTGTCAAATCAATTCAGAGGACTCACCCTGTACTGATCCCCACGGGTACAATCTTGCTTTCACCATCTTATTTCCTACTTTAACGTCTTCTACACTTCCAACCACAGCAAAGGGAAGATGCGTCTGGAATGTATAGTATTGATATTGTTACAATATGGTTAAAACATAAATACCACTGTTCTCATATCCAGGATCTTTTTTTGCTATTACAGCATACTTATAAATATGTATGTCAATTATACATTCAAATTGTGGCTCACATTGTGCTACTTCAGTTCCTTCTACTGAATCTCCTACCCTTTCTGTAATAGCAATCATAGAATGATGGCATGATAATCTGACTGAATTTAATGATAATATAATAATCACCTTTATTTTTATAGCAACTTTCATACAAGAAATGCAGCTCAAAGTGCTTTACAACAAAGAAACTACATGCACCAAGTGCAACACATTAAAAAAAGATAAAATTAACACAAAAACATGTTAAAGCATTAATATGAAATGACAATTAATAATAATAATAATAATTAATAATAATGATTAAAATATGCTAAGAATAGAAGACTTACAATGCATAAAATCAAGTAAGAAACTTTTTTTAAGACGAAAAACTTTTCTTTTTACACCGGCGTCAGCCTCTTTCAGATGCTCCAGAACATTTTCCCTACAGGTGCAATCTCACTGTGGGTTTTATCTGTGCAGGGCACAACCCAAAGTTGCCCCAGAAATAACCACCCTCTTCAGTGGTGCTGTAGGTGGTAACACAAACACATACACCACAGTCTTTTTTTTACATTTATATTTATCAACCAACCGGTGACATCAATCAAAGTGCAAAATTTCAGACCTTTATAAGAAAGGTCATAGCTAGTGAAAGGCTAAAGTGAAGAGATAAGTTTTTAGCTTTCTTTTAAATATACTTTAGCTTCACTTCATTAGTCTACTAGTATTACCACTCCTGTGTTACTGTTATCATAAAAAGGCCCAATCCTAAAGATAAGTACTGAAATACCAAAAGATAAGAGGAGGCTTAGTGAGAGTACAGTGGCAGAGAAAGTCAGAATGCATATTAACTTGTAATCTCGCTCCCGAGCTGATTGAAACAGCCAAAAACAGTATCCCTGCATATTATTACAACAGTCAGGAACAAAACACATAGTGTAAATGTATTGTATTATGTGTGTGTGTCTTGTGTGTTTCTCTGACTTACATTCATGGAGGAGTTGATCTCTGCAACAGCCTCATCCTCTGTGGGGAACTGATAAATCTGCACGCCATTGCTGACCAGCTCACTCATTATCTTGATCTTTAATTTGTCCAGTTCACTCTTGGATACTGTGTCTGCCTTTGCAATGACAGGGATGATGTTAACCTGCATGAAAAAAAACATAATATGAGTGACAGACTTAAGTAACCTTAACTGTTGAAATACACGGTGCTCGATTCTGTGGTCACCTTGCTGTCCAGTTTCTTCATTGTGACAAGATCCAGGGATTTGAGGGAGTGTCCAGTGGGAGCGATGAAGTACAGGCAGATGTGGATTCTTGTGTCGTGGTAGTTAAACAGGGAACGTTTTATTTTTAGTTCTTCCTCAAGGTACCTTTCAAACTGGGCATCAATATACTCGAGAATGGGTTTATAGCTGCACAGAAAAAAAGTTGTTACAGTTGTTAAAAAATAAGCATCCTTATTATTCTATCCGTATATGTATGAACATTAAACTTTACATAGGTTTTCTTGTTGTTTGAAAGACATATTAAGTATCCTGGTTACAAAATCTGAAACTGCAGTCTTGCAGCCAAGAATCCCAGCCTTTTATACTCCCTGCTGTTGCAGCACTCAAATGTCTATTGAGATTGCATTCGTTCTACCAGTCAATCCCTTATTCCCTTTCTTCCCTCCCAATTCACATGCCACCAACAGGCCAGACCTCTTTCTCAATTCCATGTTGTATAAGTGAGTTGGCTGAAGTACCAGAGCAAGAGGGAGAAATGATTAATGGCTGGTGCTGAGAAGAAAAGAAGTTTCTACAGTTAGCTCTGAGAATTTGTAAAGATCAATGTCAAAACAGTAGTGATGGTTTCTGTATCAAATTTTCTATGATATTTTAATAACATTCTATATCTTTCCATTTGGGATCCATACTCTTTTAATCTCTTTTAAACTCTTTAATTTTCAGCATGGATAGCACTCAGTCTAACTAAAAGAAAAAGAAATATCTACATGAACTAGTACCTTTCTTCTTTGTTGATCTGGTCTCCAAACCCTACAGTGTGCACAATGGTCAGCTTCAGGTTGACATTGCTCTCCTGCAGATCATACGTTTGGGGGCGAAGATGTACCTCACTCTCATAGTGGCTGGCTTCCTCGTTTTCAAATGTTGTATTGAAAAGAGTGTTCATCAATGTTGACTTGCCTATCCCTGTCTCACCTAAGACAAAGAAGATAATGACACACAGAGATACGGACATGAAGATGCGATGCATTCATGCTTCAATGAAAATTAATGGATGTTATGCTCATAGCACCAACTTTGGATTATGAACTTTTCCTGGGTTTAGACATACCTACACATAGGATGTTAAAGCAGAATCCCTGAGCAACTGATTTGCTGACCAGCTGATCTGGAAGACTGTCAAACCCAACGTGGCCTCCGAGCTCCAGGTTTCGCTTTGCTTCATTCTGAGGTATTTTGAAACAGGCAGGACAAAGAATATATTACAGTAAATGTATTCAGTAATATTTTTTAAAAAATCCTTCAGGCAGATTTCATCCCCACATTCTACTTTCAAGCTTAAAAGCATTCTTTGCAAATGAGGCCATGTCTCTCTTTTACTTAACACACTGAACAGTCCGACCTATAAAAAGGTTTTGTCTGAATATCACAAACCACATTTGTCTGGTAAAGACACTCAAATCTGGCAAAAAAAAAAAAAAGCGAAGAGAATCACTTGAATTGTCCATTACTGATGTCACACTTTACACAGTGAGTCTATAATATGAGGCTTCAGTGTAGGGGCTTAGCCTAAATATGATGTGCTAGTAACTCTTAACACTGCAGTCAGTAATGGTTTGTTGTTAGTGGGTTTTTACTTAGGGCTGCAACAGTCTGTTGATTTTTTTATTAATCTATTAATAACTTAACCTATTAAAAGAAAAAGTATTTCACAATTTCCCTGAGCCCAAAGTTACCCCTTCAAATTGCTTGTATTTATATGTTTTATATTATGTATATTTTATGTAAAATGATTAAGACAGAAAGGAAGATCAAATTTGAGAAGCTTGGACCTCAAAAATTGACCTTTTTAATAACTGAATTCAACATTTAAACGGAGATCAAAACGGTTGTGGATTATTTTCATAGTTGATTGACTAATCAATTAATGAATGACAATCATTTCAGCCCCACTTTCACTCAGAGACTGAAACCTAATTCAAGCTAATAATAATAATAATAATAATAATAATAATAATAATAATAATCAAACTGCACACTGCACAGAGGTTTCTACTTTCCATGTTCATGTTCTGAGTCCCCCACCCCCCACTCCAACTCCCACTCACTCAAAAATGTGTTTTGCTTATTGTTAGTTCACTTTGGTGTTTGACCGTCACTGTGCAGAGTGATGACCGTCCAGAGTTTGATACTTCAAGGCTGTATTCACATTCATCTGCCAAATTTGGATAGTTTCTCTGTGCTCAACTTAAATCTGAGTTTAACACCTATAAATATGAGATGATTTTGGGACATCACTACCAGTTTTAAAGCCAATTGTGGTCCAAATTGCCACTTACACAAGTGAGATATGTGAAAACTTCCCAGTGTACAGACACTGAGAATGGACTTTTCAGTGAAGTCGGAGACATTTTGCGTCTAGCAGTTAAACATAAATGAAAAATATTTTAGATTCTTTCAAACAGGGGGAAGGATTAGATGTTATGGATGTCTGGAGGGGCTCTTTCATATTATGCTTTGAATAATTTAAAGCACTTTAATTTGTAATGCTAACTATGTAGAATGAGGTTTGCCCTGACTGAAAGGGGGATTCATCCGTCCTATACCAAATACACCCTGGGATACTGGCATCTTGAGCAAAAGGCTCAACATGAGGACCAGGATGCGTTCAATACAACAATCATCCGTTTCTGTCCTTCTCTCTTCTCACACACTATCACTCTCTCACACACACACACACAGACACACACATACACATACACACAGACACACACATACACATACACATACACACACACACACACACACACACACACACACACACACACACACACACACACACACACAAAGAGCTCTTTATCTAGATGTTATTTCACAGGGTGGGAAGATATCCAAGCTGCTGGCTGCCCTGGTACCCATAACCCCCCTTCACAGCTAGACAAACACACACACTACTTTAACTTCACAAAGTCTTCCATCCTTTACAATGCAACCTGTAAACGGCAGACTAAATGTCATACAACAAAGCTATGACGACCTGTTTAATTAACACATTGCCACGAATTACACGTTTGGCTGATACATACTTAAGAGTAGTGCGATGCTGACTCTTAAGCTAGTAGCTACCACTTGAAGAGACTGGTATTTATGTTTATCCTCTTAACCCAGTCTCTTACTGCCTGCTGTTGTTTCATTCACATGCGTAGCCCTTCCGTGCTTTTAAATCATCACCGGAGCACACCTGTCAGAGGTGTTGTTGACATGGTAAACAGCAAAGTGATGATGCACAGCTTGGCTTTGTGCTGCTTCATGCTGGGCAGTGTGCGCGGATGCTGAAGTGAGCTTTTTTCTGCATGTCTCCACAAATTGTTCATCAACTTATGGCGACGATGCGTCGTCTCTACTGAATCGACCACAATAGAAAATCCGCCTTTATCTCGAGTCATTAGACACAACAGGCTTTCTCATCACCGCAGCGATCCTGCTGCATTCTCGACACATATATCTCATTACCATCACCTTGCTCTTACATACACCTGAACGTTATAGGGCAGCTAGTTTAATTTCCGTTTCTAGCCTAATGACACCAAATCATGAGTCATTGGAGGCCCGCAGACAGTAAATCATCATACTTACTGCGAAAACATCTACCTCAGTGGCCGCCATCGTCAGAAGTGGCTGTGTGCAGAAATTATGAGTCTTCAGCCAGACCTGCTCTCCACATCACACAGGCACAGATTCGCACTCCTTTCAATATGGCCACTTGGAGGCAACACCCCCTCGGTGCTGGAGGGCGACATTACAGCAGCTCTACTTAGCCTTATTCTAACTAAGCTTTTATTAACTCAGGAATTATTCAGATAACTGCTTCGACAGACATCAGCTCTCGTGGGAAACGAGACAGAAACCACGTCACATAAGTAGTCTTATGATTCTTCATGATCGTTTCTATTCGCGTTTTCTTCTTTTCTTTTTTTTTACAACTTTGATATCGTGTAAAGAGCCACTGACCGTGTCCCAGGGTTTTCCCCACAGACTGTATATAATGTTTTCACATGTCTGGATTCCGACAATAGCAGCATTAAAAAAAATAATTTCACATTTCAAGAGGGTCAAAATTCACTCAACACTAAAACACGTGGAGACCAACTGTCTCCTAGCAACGCAATTCAAGAAACCCGAAAATAACTTAGGCTACTACTTTATACTTCTACTCTACAACATTACAGAGAGAAATATTGCAGTTTTTACAGTGGAGTTACTATTTACTTTGAAAATCACAATTTTACATAAAAGGTATATAAAAAAACATGATGAAACCCATATAGTCAGACATAAACTATCCAACATTCAACCAGCTACAACATTTAGACAGTAATGCATTTCTAATAATTGTCAAATAATATAGGCCTAATGCAACCCTTTCACTGGGGCCACTCTACTGCATGAGCACTTATCGTTTTTTGATATTCGAGTGTATTTTGCTGCAAATATGTCTGTACTAATACTTAAGTAAGATTATGAATGCAGGAACAAATGGAGTGTTGTAGTATTGAGGTATTGCTTCTTGTACTTAAGTAAAATATATCAATAGATACTTCTTTCATCATAACAGTATGGACAGGCCACAAAAGCAGAAGTGTTAATTATAGCTGCACCAATTAGTTGATCAACAGAAAATGTAAGTTTAGCTTCTCAAGTGGGAGAATTTTCGCCTTTTCTTTGTCTTAGATTTTATTAAATTGAATATACATTTGGACTGTAGACTTCTGGTCTGATAAAACAAGATATCTGAAGGCATCACATTAGGACATTGTGTATTGGACATTGTGTATTTTTTATAGACCAAGTGATTGATCAGTTAATAATATGCAACAGAGTAATCAATAATGAAAATAGTAATGAGCTGCAGCTATAGTGTTCTGAATTACATGGTTTTTACAGCATTGTAAAGATCTTGTTGTGGTCCATTTTGTATCATTCATATACACTCTGAGTACTTTGTTAGGAACACCTGTACAGCTGCTTATTTGTGTAATTATCCAATCAGCCAGTCATGTGGCAGCAGTGCAATGCATAAAATCATGCAGATACAGGTCAGGAGATTCAGTTAATGTTCACATCAAACACATGAGGAAAATGTGATCTCAGTGACTTTGACTGTGGCATGATTGTTGGTGCCAGATGGGCTGATTTGTGTATTTCTGAAACTGCTGATCTCCTGGGATTTTCACTCACAGCAGTTTACTCAGTGTTCATTCAACATTTAGAGTGAGCGTCAGTTCTGCAGAGTGAGAGGTCGGAGGAAAATGGCCAGACTTGTTGCAATGGACAGAAAGGGTACAGTAACCCAGACAACCTCTTTACAACTGTGGTGAGCAGAAAAGCATCTCTGAATGTACAATATGTCGAACCTCGAGGCCGATGGGCTACAACAGACCACACTGGCTTCCACTCCTGTCAGCCAAGAAGAGAAATCTGAGGCTGCAGTGGGCACAGGTTCACCAAAAACTGGACAGTTGAAGACTGGAAAAACATAGCCTGGTCTGATGAATCTGGATTTCTGCTGAGGCATGCAGATGGTCGGGGCAGAATTTGTCATCAACAGCATGAATCCATGGACCCAACCTGCTTTGTGTCAACAGTCCAGGCTTCTGGTGGTGGGGTGAGGGGGCGGAGAATGTTTCCTTGGCACACTTTGGGCAGTCAATCTTCATTTGAATGCCACAGTAGATCTGAATATTGTTACTGACCATCCTTTTATAGCCACAATTTACCATCTTCTGATGGCTCCAGCATGATAATGCAGTATGTCACTATGTAAAAATCATCTCAAACTGGTTTCATAAACCTAACAATGAGTTCAGTGTACTTCAGTGGCCTCCCTAGTCACCACATATGGATCCAATAGAAGTGGTGAAATAGGAAATTGTGAGCCTGAATGTGCATCTGTCAAATCTGCAGAATTATGTAATGCAGTCACATCAACATGGACCAGAGTCTTAAAAGACATGTTTCTAACATCTTGTGGAGTCCATGCCATGAAGAATGCAAGCTGTTCTGAGAGCAAAAGGAGGCCCTGCTCAGTGTTAGTATGGTGTTCAGGTGTTCAAGTACTCAGTGAGTGTAAGGTTATTGGTTATCTGTGCCTAATGTGATTTCTCATAGGTTTATTCATAAGTCTAAGACTTGGAAACTATATTCTTTAGCTTAGTAACCTGATTAAATGCCATAGATCACAATCAATTCAATATTTATAGTTTGGTTACTGTTGGTAAAGACGTGGTAGTGACACTACAATGATTAGACTAGGTATGCCCTACTAAACCACTTATAACATTAAAATAACATAATAATAAGATATACAATTAGATTTAAAGCAGTGTTATTATATTTCTTATATAAACTCAAGTTGTATTTAAGTGAACTCAAGATATTTCATACATGATATAAATATACAAATTCAGTTCTACTCTAACATACGACTCTTAGATCTTTTATAAGGCCAACACACACACACACACACACACACATATATATATATATATATACAGTATATATATATGAACAAATAAAAAATGCAGTTACTATTAAACCTTTTTTAGTAGATCTGATATCCACTATCACGAGACGTTATCCTGCACTGCCCCCAGCCAGCCTTTTAACGGGGAGTGTCATAATAAGAAACGGGTGAATTTATTTGGAGAGGCGCCGGAAGCAGCAGGTTGGTGGAGGACAGCAGAGAGGGGAGCACGGAGAGAGAGGGGATTACCCTCGGGCTTTATTTAAGCTATCTGCTGTAGCTTGTCATATTTTTGCCCAGGAAAAAGACAAAATGGCTTTAACCCAAGAATCCATATTGTCCTTTTTACTGGAACACGGAGGCAAAGTGAAGAACACGGAGCTGCTGAACAGTTTCAGGAGTCAAATCAACTGCAGTGATCCCGCGGAAAAGCTGCACAATAGGGATCTATTCAAGAAGTTGGTGAACAGCGTCGCCGTGGTCAAACAGATCGACGAGGCAAAGTTTGTAGTCGTGAAGAAAAGGTACCAGGACTTCGTTAAAGAGGGGGTCCATGATGCACCGCAGAAAACACAGATGGATGACAGTTTCTCAAGCCCAAATACGAGCTTTTCATACACCTCTCCCCATCGAGCGGAGGCAGCCAGTGTGATTCATTCAGACATTGAAAACAATAACATGAGCTACCCACTGAACATAAATTGCAATTATTTCGGTGATGCTAAACATATGCCGGGGGGCAGTGTGCAGAAAAGAAGGCCGTTATCCAGAAACATTAGTAGTGCGGACACAACCACTGTCAAAGTCCTGAATATCTCCGGAGATCATACGAGCAGAGCGGGGAAATCTGGGGCTGTGTTCGCTGTCATATCAGTAAAATCCCCACCGAGAAACTCTGCACCAGCACCACAGGATGGATTACATTCCCAAGTGCATCAGCATAAAACTTCAGACACGCCAATCACGTTGGGAACTAAAGTTTCTACGTCATCAGTGCAAACTCTGAATTCTAACTTTCCAGCTTGTCAGAAGGATGAATCAAGTGAACACCAATGTCGGGAAAGCAGACAGACAGAGAACATGCAGCTCCCAGGCTTTCCCCAGGTGAGGCCCCAAAACAAGACCACAAAACAAGCGGATGATGCCAAGTACTCTGAGTCTGTGCCTTTGGAGCCATTAGCTCATGAGTGGTTGGTAAAGTGTGCTGCTGGACTGTGGAGCCAAATCTATGCTTTGCTACTGCAGGACACCCGGTTAGCACAGAGGAAAGACTTCATGTCAGGTTTCACAGCACTACACTGGGCCGCCAAGGAAGGCAACTGCGAGATGATACATAAGCTCATGGATATCTCCAGGCAAAGAGGCACTTACATTAACATCAACAGCAAAGCACACGGAGGATACACACCTTTACACATTGCAGCCATACATGGCCACACTGAGGTAATGCTTTTGCTTGTGCAAAGGTATGGAGCCAATGTTAATGAAAGAGATAATGCTGGCAAAAAGGCCTTCCACTACCTGGGCAAAGGTTTGTCAGCTGAAATGAGAGCACTTTTGGGAGGACTGCAGCAGATCAAGTACAGGGAGAAGACAGATGAGGAAGACTACAGAGAGCACCCGAAAGGCTTCAACACTATTAGCAAACTGTTCCAGCCTCACATAGGGAAGAAACAAAGGACAACAACAAAGTTTACTCATGACTGGTGAGAATGACATGGGTCATATGAAGCTATGAGATAGACAATATCGAAATTGTAAGAGATAATACTGTCTTTATTTGTACATTATGTTAATATAAAACAACTTAAGTCATTGTTAAATATGCTTTAGATCACTTAAAGTCTATGACTGAATTACAAATGTGTAGTCTCTCGGTACATATTGTAAGCTCTAGCTGTCCTGTACAGTGTATCACTGCTGGATGTAGTATTTATGAATGGTATTTTATAATCTTTTTTTTCTTTAGTTGACTTACATGTATTAACGATGAATACGTTATTTTGCACCCATTTAACTTATTTTAATAACAACAAAACAATCTGTGGTAGTGATACTGTATATTTTTTTCAGTACCCAATGTGTAATAAATATTTTCAAATTCTTGATTCATGACTTCAGAGTATGACGAAATTTGAAAACAGACCACACCTGGGAAACAGTTGCTATCAACATTGGTGTGAATCATGTCATTGTGTTGTTGTGTGTAGAAAGCTTATCATATGTTCATATCATACGTTTATGATATAGTGATCATCAAAATTAAATCAGCTCTTTAAAGAAAACTGAGTGCAAAGAAAAAAACTGGTTTAAGATTAGGTTTAAGATGTTACAAGATACCCCTCTCCCTCAGTAAGAGCAAAGGGGCCCTATGTGAGGCCAGTTATGCAAAGCAGGCAACTCGGCAGGGTGCTGGAATGTCTCCTTTATCAGTTTCTTTGTGAACTTGAGGTTGTAATGGATGACCTTCCTTTTGTGGGTCAACGTGGGGCCCCATTTCTGGATTGCTGTGATAAAAAAGACACAGGTAATTGAAATTATCAGTCAAGGCCCCAAAACCCCATAGTAATAATTTTTAGAAAGAATTTTTTCCAAATACAAGTTGGGTACAAAATACCCAATCTGTGAAATAAAAAACAACAACTATGGATTATGTCTCCATTGTTGTTGTTGTTCAGAATACTTGAAAAAGTTATTAAGGTAAAAACACAAATGGTTATATATTCAGCAGTATTCAGTGACATAAACACTTAACACAGTGCTTTTATAACAATCAAAATGGTACAGAACTACACTTAAGTTAACAACTTATTCAAAAACATTCAGTGCTGTCATGGATGAATGACTGACTGAACCTCTTTTTTATAAATCAGACATGCATGAAAACAGTATTCTGCCATTTTGTCCAGTACAGAAACATTGTTTTTATCCTCATCTGACCCAGAGAAAAACAATCCCTGATGACATCAAAAGAGTAAGAGCTCAGACAATAAAGCCATAAGCAAAACAGTGCCAGAACAATGTCCTTTGTCTTGTTATCTGGGAAAGAAGCTGCTTGCATAATGATCCCAACAAAGGACAGCTGCACTCACAGGAACTATTCACTATGTTTTTTATTCCACCACAAAACTTTTCTTTAATACTAAAGATTATAAAAAGGAAATCTACCAGAGAAAGGCTTCCTAATCTTAAATGGTTCAGACAAAATTTCCCCACATTAAAGTCAGTCCAACAATAGTGTGATGTGGTCCAGGCCTTGTATCATTTCCTGTTAGTACAAAATGCCAAAATGCGTGGACCTCTGGTTTATGAACAGTTGTGGTAGAATAGAATAATAAACAGATTAGTGCATATTTTGTATACTCTGGGGTGGAACTGGGACACAGATACAACTTACATCTGAAGGCCAGCTAGTGGTCCCCAGAGGTTACAATTACACTCCACAATATAAAAGTGCTGGTTGGCACTAACAAACACTCTACACTCTAACACACACTAATAAAACTAAAACTAAAATTCAAAACTTACTGTACTGTGGATGGTATTAAAAGATAACCAAAAGATAGACAAAATTGGTAATCCCCTAAAATAAATCAACAACCAATCACTATCAAATCAATGGTAATGTTATCCAACTCTGTCCTGTCAACCACTGAGTAAAAAGCTGTATGCTGATGGTTCGATAACGGAGATGCTCTTTACTGGTGCTGTGTTTTAGAGTACACTGAAGCAGAAAGCCTCTACAATAAACAGAAATACTGTGTCTCTGTAAGGACGCTGTCTAATCAGTGGACACAACATGCCTGTCAATTTTCTACACACAATGAAGGCTCCACCACACAACATGAGCAAGGCTTCTATTGACAAAATTAAATTGTAGAGTGCTGCTGAATTCGATGATTAACTAGTGCAGAGCAGACCGACTCTATCAGTTTATTCTCCAACAGTGTACTTCTACATAAATCACTTCATTTTGAGTTTATTTTAGATGACGTTAACCAATGGACAATATTATGTCCTTTTAGTTACATTTTAGGCCAGTAGAGGGCAGGATATACTAACATTTTCATCAGTTTAAAATGTTGACTTATATAGTCATGCAGTCATTTCTATTTGGTAAGGGGAACTATCATGGTAACCTTTACCAGTCCATGTTAATATTTGTTAATAGACTGCAATATTCAAAAAGCACAGTTTAAGTGTGTGTTTCAGTGTGCACTACATCAAACAGATCTGTTCATGTGTGTAGAATAAAAATATAAACACTGTCAGTTTTAAAGTACAATTTTTTCTAAATAATTTATTTGGAAAACAAAATTGTGTAAAATTATAAGATGGTGTATATACATGATAAACAACAGTATTTAATTAATATTTGCCCTACCAAACAGCCAAATTGAAAACTGCCGCAGTGTGTGCTGCCAAACACCTCAATACATACGGTGCAGACTGACAAAGAAAAGAGGAAAATCCAAAATACAGTAAAAAAAAAGTACAAAGCACTGTCCAGTAATCTATGGCAAGTCCAGAGGTCAAAATCACAAGTCGCCACACCACGTCAAAGTAAACATAAAACCAAAATGTTGTTGAGTGATGTAATAAAATTACTTGATTTCATCTGAGTCATAAAAATACACAACTTAAAAAATTGCAAGCCAAATTGATTGATATAGCCATTAGCAGGGAATGGAGCTAAATTATCACCTCCTTTACCATGAAAAATCATCTGTCAAAAACACAACAAAACAGAAATCAACCCTTTGCTTGTCTGCGGTAGGGCCCAAATTGTTCATTTTACATACTTCATGAATACAATATCCATGTAAAACTGTGGGCAGCCACTCCCACCTCACAAAGTCACGGTCAGTCTGCTCTTAAAAGCAGAAATACCAGAAACCCTAAAGAAATGGCTGCTGAGAAGGGCATACTGTAACCCAAGGAAGTTGTTTTTTGTTGTGTATGTAACCATCTTTAGTCACAAAAATATAACACAGTAGCCTACTGTTCTGTACCTATGTTTGTTGCTGTTTGTTTTGGCATGTACTTTCCCTTTTTCCCCCCAGAGTGAACATGACATATTACTGAGTATTCCATGTTGATACGTTTGCTACCTGTTTTAAATTAATAGTTAGGGGTGAGAACAAATTAAGTCCCATTTGCAATACACATACATTTTTGTGTATCACAGTTAACACTGTTAATTGAATTATAAAGTAATGAAAATATTACAAACAAAGCTACACTTATTTAATGTTAGCAGCTTTAGCTGGCTAGTTAGACCCTGTTAATGTAATTTTCAAATCAGCTAACCTAGTTAACATTATCTAACTTCTAGCAGGGTTGGATTTCTTAAACTACAGCATCCATACTTCATGTCACTGCTGTTTATATAAATATGCCTTTAACACTGTGTTAACTAACTTTAAGAATAGCAATACTTACTTACCAATGTAGCTTTCCCTTTACACCTTTAGATTATGTTGATATTTCTTAAAGTTGTCTCCAAAATTTTCACAATAATTCCTTTACAAAGTGGTGGATATATTCTTTTGTAAAATACAATAGGCCACCTGAAAAATAAAGTTAAACTGAAATTCCCATCGGTGCCGGAAGTTTGGAGGCCATGTCTTCAAAATAAAAGCGCATTGAAGGTTCTTATTATATAAGCACATGTATAATACCCTGCATCTGATGTTTAAAAAAAAAAATAAGATTTTCTGTGGGGGAAATTTGTTGTAATACACATCACTTTTTTGTTCAATGTATACTTTTATTTCACTCTTTGTATCTCAATTTAAATGTTATTGTAAATACTGCAGAAAATCTATTTTAATATTTTGAGTTTATGCTTTTATTATTTGATAAGAATCAGAGATAATATGGGATACAGCATTGTTTAATTTAGCCTTTTCACGATCTTTAAAAACCAGTCTGTTGCGGTTTTTAATGACTGAGAAAGTCATTGCCTGAAAAAGTAATAGGCTTTGGGTGATGAAGTTGATTGCTAACACCTGCGTGTGTTGATCAGCAGCGGCACGTGTGTGGTCTTGTTGACTGTCAGCGGAGAGTCTCTGCAAGTTTTGACTGGTTTCGTTGTTTATAATGGAAAAGCAAATGCTGATGTCAGCCGTACTTCGTTATTTTCGCACTGTTGTCTTACTGCTGCTGGTCATCTGTGGCTGCCCGGTGGTTAGATCTTCTCTGGCTGCCTCCAATGCGCTGCACAAACTGGGCGACTTCACTTACCCCTATGGCAGCATCTTCTCCCCGCTGCTCAAAGCCCTGTCAGAGCACGGAGGGCCGAGGTGGAACCCAGGCCTGAAGAAGAAAATGAAACCCGAGCACAGGTACATGAAATATCTGACCGAGGTTTTCAAGAAGTCCTCCAGAGTGCAGAGGAGTTTGGACGGGGATAAAATCTACAACACTGTCCGACTGATCAAGCCACAAGATGAATGTCTTGCACAAAGTAATAAAGGTGAGTAAGTGATACATAGAGGCCATGACAGCTCAGCTGACTGGACGTTGACAGTACACACAATGTAATGCAAAGAACAATGATAGTACAGGTGCTTGATGACAGATGAAATTATTAATATTGGCATTCCTCTAAGAATATGCTATAAATGATACCCAAATACACGTGCACAAAAGTAAAGTCTAATAAAACTAAAAACAAATGTTTTTGCCTGTTGTTTATGGCACCATATAAATAAAAGTAAAGCGTAAGTAACTAGGACAAAAGGACAAAGCTGCAATGGTCCAAAACTGGATTATACTGCTCCTGGGGCCCAGGACCTGCAGGGGCCTCAAAAGCCCCAGTCATTATGCATTGAATGGTTGGCTCTAATTGGCTCTGAACAGAGGCCCTGTGTCAAAATTCTATTTTGCAGATGTTAATTATTTTTTCATTTCATACATTTTATTTCTCATATAGTGAAAAATAAAGTTGTATTGATTCATTGTTCCACAATCTTGGCTGACTCACAGTAAACTGTGGAGCAAGCTAGTATTATTTCACACACAGCACTGATAGTTTTGTTTATCTAGTCATTAGTGGCATGCAGAATATTACAGCACAAAAAGCTGCTTGTCCTTTGGGCCTTCTTAACAGATTTGACAAAATGTTGCAAAATCCCAGATAAAACATGACAGCTGGATTTGGAGAAGAGCATTTTCAGTGTTGTGGTCAGAACAACATGTTTTGTGCTATGACTTTGATACTCTGTATTTGTGGGAGTTCAAAACAATTTTCCTAAAATGGGCAAGTGCAGATTAGATATGAGTGATGATTTTATCGCAACCAAATATCAGGTTGTCTTATTGTTAAATTATCTCAACCGTACCATTTATCATGATAGTGTTATATCATGATAGTCATGTTATATATATTTTCACAACAACAAAAATATTTTAACTGTCTGATCAAACTGTAGCGATAAAGAGACACTATGTAAAACTTGACAGCAATATTGACATGCTAAGTGGGTACACTTGGAATTAAATGATCTATTTTATACAGTTTTTGAATCTTGCTTTTGTGCAATTTACGAAATAATAGTTGTCCGAATGGGAATTTCCCTCCTGGTGCCGCATCTTAAAACTTGTGTGGTGACATAACAGTGACACTCTGCCTTATGTTTTCTCATATTCTCCTTCAGAAAGTTTTATGCAGGATCTTTCCTACAGTCTTGATCAAGTGAGAAGAAAAGAACAGCTTCTAAAGTCGGCTCTGCTGTACAATTCTGAACACGACCGTGCAGCACCCATGAACTCTGTGTGTTACCTGAGTATCAAGGAGCGGGAGCAGTCAAACCAGTGTCAGCTGTGTCCTGTAGTCTACCAGGCTGTGAACTTCACAGCCGACTCTGATGGGAGGAGCAGGAGGAACTGGGTGGAGGTTGATGTCACCTCATTTGTCCAGCCTCTCTTAAAGTTTCAGAAGAAGAATATACACCTGCTCATCAACATCACCTGCCCAGAGGAAAAAGGGGCCAGGGGCTCTGGACCTAAAGGCCCTTTGGAATTCACCCTGAGGCCCCCTCCTCTGCTTCTTTATCTCAATGACACCAGCAAAATCACCCACCAGAGGTCACTGGTCAATGCCAAACTGGGTGAAAGGCCAGGCACTGCAGCAAACACATTTCACAAGCAGATGGTGCTCAAACCAGAACAGAGGTTTGGGCGCAAGAGGAGATGGAAGAGGGAATCTCCAAAGAGCAAACGCGGTGATAAAAGCCTGGATACCCACCTGCCTGAGCTTCTCCCGAGCTCTGAATTCCCGACAAGTGACTGTGCCTTGTATGATTTTAGGGTGCGATTCAGCCAGCTCAAACTGGATCACTGGATTGTTTTTCCTCCAAAGTACAACCCCAGGTACTGCAGAGGCATCTGCCCGAGGACCATGGGCTTCATCTATGGTTCACCTGTTCACACCATGGTGCAAAACATCATCTATGAGAAGCTTGACTCCTCTGTGCCCAGGCCCTCGTGTATTCCCTCCCACTACAGTCCCCTGAGTGTCATGATCTTTGAAGAGGATGGATCCTATGTCTACAAGGAGTTTGAAGACATGGTCGCCACCAGGTGCACATGTCGCTAAACCAGCTACCAACATATATTTGTTTTTTTCCCTCTCTTACAGGCTGGATAGAACATCACCACAAAGCCCCTCAACAGTCATCACAGGTGGACTCTACCTCCGAGTGTCTCCTCATTATCCCAGTATCAGATATTCTGACCAGGTTCAGTGATTTCATGAATTTATAAAATTGTTGTGCATGATCTGGAGCAGGTGTGTTTACTTAAACAAAAACGTATTTTATCCTAATGAAAAATATGGCAACGTGACATTTATTTCATTTTTGTTAAGAGAGGGTGCAAATGCATTCTAATGTTCAACTTACTATTTGCAGTATGTTATTGAGTCTTACACACTTGAAGAAGAAAATGTGTGATGTATAATTTGTAGGATTTTTTTAAGTTTCTTTTTTTGTTAACTTATTTTGGTTGGGTGGTCTGTCATTATTCTTTAATTTAACACAAGTTTTAAGTAGCCCTGTTGTGCATAAAAGATGAAAAAACAGTCACAAATCCTTATCAAACCTTTTACATATCGTTTTATTCCTGGGGATTACAGACAGCTGTATTATGAAGACACCCGTCTTCATAATGTCCAGAATGAAAGTTGTCAAGGTTTCAGTGTGTATTTATTACTTCTGGTCACTGAGTGACTAAATACATATGAATTGACTGCATACTTGTGACTTCTTACTGGTTGAATGGGATTACATGTCATGTCTATTTATGCAAATTGAATGAATTCACTGTGTGTCTGTGGTCAGCTTAGGGATATTCAAAAGAATGAAAATATGTTGACATATTCTATGAAAAGTTGGAAAATAAAAAAAAAGCAGGCATAAGTGTTTTCTTTGTCTGCATACAGCTGGCTGAACTGCTCAGACAACACAGGGAAAATGTGCAGGAAGGAAAGGAGAGAGATTTTGATTCTTTGCTATGTCCAGTGAGTATTGAGCCCAAATGACCTTGCAAAGTGTGTGTGTGTGTGTGTGTGTGTGTGTGTGTGGGTGTGTGTGTGTGTGTGTGTGTGTGTGGGTGTGTGTGTGTGTGTGTGTGTGTGTGGGTGTGTGTGTGTGTGTGTGTGTGTGTGAGTGAGAGAGTGAGTGAGAGAGGTTAAAGAGTTATCTGATAGCCTACTTGCAGTAGTGAAAGTATTTGCACTCTTCATTTTAGTAAGAGCACCAATATAACAATAGAAATATTCCATTGTGGACCCTGTGCTAGAAGTAAGACTCATTTGACTACACTCCAGGCCGCTAGGTGGCGTTATTATCGTCGGTATTAGCAGCGAGCCGACGGTTGTATAAAGAGGAAGGACACAAGGCTTTCGCTAAGAGGCACCGCTGAGAAGGAGCACGGTAAGCTTCAATGTCATGAATTTAAACGACACTTCCATTAGCCTGTATTACCAAATGTTGTGAAATGTATGTGCTGTGTTGTGTAAGGGAGACTTGGGTTTTACCTATTTTGATTAAGCGATCACGTTAACGTGGCAGTCAGGGAAACGTTTCAAGGTTGTTTGTACTTTAGCAGCTAACGACTAGCCCAGCGGCCCAGGGCAGCTAGTTAGTGAAGCTAACATTGAAATATCACGGCTAACACGTCCTGTGCTCCTTTAGCTTCATTAAGGTCGTTATTTCGCAATAGTGACTATTTAGATAACATAGCATCATCATAGCAGCCGTGCCTTTGTCTCATAGCTTATCAGTTGAACCGTTTATGAACGACGTTAGTAGGGTTTTAGCACACATCTGTTCTCATGTATGCAGGGAAAGTGTGGAGGGTTAGTTTACTGTTAAACCTGTTATTTCAACAAGCTGCATCTTTAACGCAAGAAATGTAGTAATTAATAAACGAGCAATTCATTCTTATATGGTTATGTAAAATCCAGCTAGTCATGAACGAACATCACGAACCCTTATGATCATTATTCTAAATCATTATCAAAGGTGCTACATATATTATGTTTTTAATTACTACACCTTATTGTTAAGACTGTCATACTGAATTGACAAACGGTGAACCCCATTTTGATTTCCCCCAATTGTTCAGTAGCTCGTACAATGCAAATGGAAAAGAATTTACATTTATTGAATACATTTTTTATTAAGAAACCCTGAAAAGACTTTTGCATCTTTTGGTGTTAGGGTCACTGAATACAGTTTTGCACAACTATTTGATTGGGACTATTTTGCATTTAGTCCAAATCATTAAAAAACCAAACTATGCCAATGTTTGCCTGTTTATTTACCTTCTGTAAATTTCTTAATTGTCATTTCAGATCAGCTCTCTGGTGAACATGGGCCGCCACTTTGGAAACTTGGCCAAGGTCAGGCATGTAATCACATACACTCTGTCCCCATTCGAACAGAGGGCTTTCCCCAACTACTTCTCCAAGGGAATTCCCAATGTGTGGAGACGGTTCACAGCTTCTTTCTTCAAAGTTGCCCCCCGTGAGTCTTTGATTTTGTGTACAGTTTATCAGTATTTTACATTTAGACCTGAGCCATATAACATATTTGAGTAGTAAATATTTTTGGGAAATCTTTTAAAGATAGATAGATACTTTTTATTTTATGCTAATTCTTATGTTATCAAGAAACCAAATGAAAGGAACTAAACATTATTTTATCATGAAATCATTCATTCTTTTCTTCTTTAAAAATTATCATTTTGATTTGACAGATTTGTCTGGTAGTTCAGATTTCAGATCTCAGTTCACATTTTTGCAACTAAACTGAATTCTATGCATAAAGTTGGAAAAATAGTTTTTGATTTATATATTTTATATTACAATACAAAGTGATTTGATTAACACATTGATAAAATTATATAAAATACAATATTCCCATAAAACAGTTCGTGGACTTGCAAGTTTAACGTTTAAATTAAGTGCTTTGGATGTCAGGTTTTGATTTGCTCTTTCTACGGTCTAATTTCATCATTACAAGTGCCCGAATGTTGAGTTGGGTTGGTACCTTGTCATATGATATGCCTTTTGTGTGCTTTGACCCCAGCTTCTGTTGTTTAAACAGCAAGCCACAGTGGACAGTAAAAAGAGCTGACAAATTTTTGCTGTGCTAATACACCAAGTGTCAAATTCCAAGTCCATGCCGACAAGTCCCTTTCTTTACTACACTTCAGCTCTTTAAAACAGGTCCTTGGAATTGGCATTTTGCAAACATTGTATGCTATGTGTTCACTTAAAATTATAGGAAAACAAAGTAACTTTAATTTTATTGTTGTTTGACAAGTAAGACTGTCGTTGTAGAGCAAATACAGCTAACCTATTCACATAAATGTATAAAAAGACTCTAATTTTAACTGTGACCATGTTCTTACATTACAGTATTCAGTGCTTTTATTTATTTTGGGTTTGAATTCAATTTTGAAATTTTCAGGATCTCTGAATCAATAGTATATTTACATTAATTAAAGTACTGCACTATGACCTTTATTTCATAGCAAAGTCCAGATAAATAAAATTAAAAGTGTTACTATCCCAGTGCTAATTTGTTTTGTGATCTTCCTCCCTACAGCAATGATCCTCATGTACCTGACATACAGCTGGGGCAACAGTGTCCATCAGCAGGGCAAGAGGAAGAATCCTGCTGACTATGAGAATGATGAATAAACTGCCACCTTCCTGAACGCTGCCCTCTGTTGTTAATTCCATCTCTGTATGTTTAACAATAAAGATGAAAAATATTTATGTGAAATCAGTCTTGATTGGTTTCATTCAGTCATTTCTTCTTGATTGGATTGATGCCCATTAATGTTCATGCAATGTAGGTGTCAAATCAGTGCTACAGTTTTACAAATTATAATACAAATTTACTTCCGTGTGAATTTTTATAATTGCCCAAGTCATTTAATATGCAAATTTATTGTGTCAACGATTCGTAGCTCCAACATTACCAATGTGGTGATTTGCTGCTTTTGTCTGTTTTTATATTTTTGTATGTTTAAGATTGTTTGATTTTGGACTGTGGGTTGGACAAAACAAGAAGATGAAGATATTACCTTGGGTTGTTCTGACAAGTTAAAGACTAAAGAAAATGGACAGATAAATCAGTAATGAAGATAATTGTGTGAATTATGGTGATTTTGTTTGTTTTATTGTGAAGATGGTTTACATAAACTTCAGTATAACAAACCAAATTGCATTTAAGAGTATTATTAGGCAAGTGATAAGTATTTGCATCTATCTGCTGTAATTGCAATGGTGGTGGTGGTGGTGGTGGTGGTGGTGGTGGTGGTGGTGGGTGAGTCTATTATTTTGAAGTTGGGGAGCCAGCAGGTAACCGTCAGCCGGTTTATATTATTACAGCAGGATGTGATATAGTAATATGGGCAACAGACTGAAATAGATTTGAGTACAGCTGACTTAAAGCTGCCGCTGTAGTGACCGTTTCTAGTCTGTGGGCGGCGCACGATCTTCGGGCGCAGCGTCTCTGCAGTTGGATGCGATTGGTCGCTGGGACAGACAGAAAATTCCTGAACGCTCTCACGCATCAGCCGGTGTACCTACCGCATGCTGCCGCTCAGTTTCATGGAACAAGAACAAGGGAGGATCATCGTCCGCTGATTGAAACCCACTGTAGCCGCTGCTGTCGCTTTTAACACTAAGCTGTGTTTCTGTTCTTAATTGTAATTACCGCTCTCCACGCCGTGCAGTTAGCTGGTGAAGATGTCAGTTGTCGGATTTGACGTCGGGTTCATGAGCTGCTATGTAGCGGTAGCAAGAGCCGGAGGGATTGAAACAGTCGCTAATGAATACAGCGATCGAAGCACACCGTAAGTACGATTAGGCTCAATAGTATGTGCCATTTGCGTTGTATTATCTGCGCTGATGGCAGACACAACATGTGAAAGGATTCACATCTGTTTCACATCATAATATTGAGTGGAGCTAACGTGGCTAGCTGCCTGGCTAGTTAGCATGTTAACGGATTTCACAACAGGAAGCAGCATGTGAGTGCTAAAGCTAACGGTAACCGAAACGAAACCATTGTGACAAGAAAGAAATCCTGGTACCACCTCACATGGTGGAATACTCCTTGTGGTGTCTTACTACAATGTTATAGTCGAGTTAATTTAAAGCCTCGAATAATTGACCTGCCGAGTCAGGTGATGATTTTTTTTATTACAGGCATGAATGAGCGCATGATGGGAGGAGGCCGGATCCAGTCTGTCAAAACGGCTTTAGCAATCTATTGTACTTAATTTTCCAGACCCATAGTCCCTAGAAGACACCGATTGATTAGTAGAGAATATACATTTATAAACATGAAATTTCTCATGACATGAAATCGTCACCATTACTGTCAATTACCATTTTATTGCTGGTTACAGCAACCTTATACGAAGCTGCATCATTGAAAGAACAATTGTAGTGGAAATAACGGGATTGTGTTTTCTATTTTTAGAGCATGTGTGTCCTTTGGACCCCGGAATCGCTCTATTGGTGCAGCTGCAAAAAGCCAGGTATGTCTTCATGGGAAATCGTGGGATACTGGGAATGTGATCACTAACCTGACAGAGGAGGGACCAGTGTTCCCATAGTGCATTGAATATGAGCTTGAACAATACCAAGCATGAGTACACCACACATCAAATTCAGCACCAACACAGAACACTCTTTCAAGTCATGGATGCACAATTTGCCAAGGTGTGAGTGTGTTTTAATAGTTGTTTTTCTCTCTCTCTGTGAAACAGGTCGTCACAAACTGCAAGAACACAGTCCAAGGGTTCAAGAGGTTTCATGGCAGGGCGTTTTCAGATCCATATGTGCAGTGCCTCAAAAACAGCTTGGTGTACGATATCGCACAAATGCCTACAGGAACAACTGGTATTAAGGTAAGAGAAGACTGAACAAGATTCACAGTTAAACTGAGATGTTAGAATGTGCATTAATCTGTACAATGCACTCATTACAGCTCAGACACATTAGATGCACTACATTATTATCCTTGGAAAAGTTCATTTCCACTGTGCTCTTACTCAGAGATCTGCAATGCATTCCCATGCATTGTTATAATTTGGCTGGCCAGTCCAGGCATTTATCATCCTGCCAAATAATTTTTTGGTCACAGAAAATAAACACTGTTCAGTTGCGGAGATGATAAAAAGAGACTACTGTGTGGCACTCTATGAAGATAGTACACCAGAAATAAATATTCTTATGCCACAGTAGAGAGAAAACACATTGTCTCAACAACATAATAGCCAAACAAATCAAAGTAGACAGTATGATACAGTCCCATAAATTGTTGTAATTGAGAATACTGTTAATTAAAATCTATTTATTAATTCAGACTTAAATATATGTTTGTGTTTCCAGGACCAAATTTTTGTTTTGTGTCAGTCAGGTACTTATTAATTCAAATTTCAACCAATGATCTAATGTCACCAAGCACTAAAAGCATGTAGATGAACAGTATTTTATTGCACCTGTGACGCACCATATCTGTGCATTTTGAAGTTATGAAATGTCTGTCTGTGTCATCACAAGCTGAACTGAGATAAAGTTTGAAATGTGGCCTTGATAAAACAGTGGAAGTATAAAGGACACTGTTAAGGTTGACGGAGAGACTTTGCTTCTTGAAAACATTAGTTACAGGCAGAGATAATGGGGCAAGTCAAACTATGCATCTTTGGAAAAGTAATGTTGATATACATATATGTACAGATTCATGTGTGTGTGTGTGTGTGTGTATATATATATATATATATATATATATATGAGGTAGATAGTTTTATTGCCTATTATCATTCCGTCACTTGCTGTACAAACAAGTCATTTTTGAGCCGACATAGTAAAAATCTTTGAGAGCAATGTTACAATTTTCTCTTGTCTGTCTATTTGACTGGTACTGAAGGTGATGTACATGGAGGAGGAGAAAGTGTTCAGCATTGAACAGGTCACCGCCATGCTGCTGACCAAGCTGAAGGAGACGGCAGAGAATGCACTGAAGAAGCCTGTGGCTGACTGTGTTGTCTCTGTAAGTATTAACATGCTACTGTACAGTTTTTGACACTGTCCTTATAAAAGCTTGAAGCCCCAGCCTTGACCTAACTGCAGGCCTAATCAAGCACGTTAATTGAAAACACCTGTGGGACCTGTTCAAACGCTTTTCTCTTCTAACCAGGTTCCCTGCTACTACACTGATGCTGAGAGGAGATCAGTAGTAGATGCTGCTCAGATTGCTGGACTCAACTGCCTGAGGCTCATGAATGAAACAACTGCAGGTCTGTACTTGGTTTTTTTGGGGCGTAGGGCTTAGGCAAGGATATGCGTGTTATTGATGCCTCTCTGTACTGTCATCCCAGAACTTGTTTACTTCATTAATAATTGAACAATTTTCCTTACAGTTGCATTAGCCTATGGGATCTATAAACAGGACCTCCCTGCTCCTGAGGAGAAGGCTAGAAATGTGGTGTTTGTGGACCTGGGCCATTCTGGATACCAGACATCAGTGTGTGCCTTTAACAAGGGCAAACTCAAGGTGTGTGTGTGTATGTGCGTAAATCAACATACTGCACATTCTTTATCAGTGTATGAAAGGCTTTGTTTCATAACTTCAGCTCTCTCTTGGCTTCTTCTTCATGTCTCTCAGGTCCTTGCTACAGCCTGTGACCCAGAGTTGGGAGGAAAGGACTTTGATGAGGTACTGGTCAAGTATTTCTGTGAGGAATTTGGCAAGAAGTACAAGCTTGATGTCAAGACTAAGCCCAGGGCTCTGGTCAGGCTCTACCAGGAGTGTGAAAAACTGAAAAAACTGATGAGTGCCAACTCCTCAGACCTGCCACTTAACATAGAGTGCTTCATGAATGACATTGACGTCTCTGGAAAACTGAACAGGTTAGACAAAAAGAAATCATATGTTGATATGATTTTTATTTTTTATTAACTTTATTTATTCAATTTTTTTTACAATGCAGGATTTTTATCTACTATCTCTTACTTTAAAATGTACTTTTAAAGTTAAAGCAATATCCACCTTTTCTTTTGCACAAGGGGTCAGTTTGAAGAGATGTGTGCTGATATTTTTGCCCGAGTAGAGCCTCCACTGCAGACTCTGCTGGAACATGCCAGTGAGTATTATTTTCCCCAGTTGGGATTTTCTTCACTTTACTTATCTGACATTCTTGTTATTTCAGTTTAAAGAATGTTAAGTACGCTGGTTCCTCAGTTTATGTGATAGTGATAAACTGTTTTTATTCCATAAGAACTGAAAAAAGAAGACATCTATGCAGTTGAGATAGTGGGTGGAGCTTCCAGGATCCCTGCTGTCAAAGAGAGAATCAGCAAATTCTTCGGGAAGGAATTGAGCACTACACTGAATGCTGACGAGGCTGTGGCCAGAGGATGTGCCCTGCAGGTATATCCCACTTTGTTTTTCACAATAAAAACGTCACCCACCAGCACATGACAGAACCTTTGGCTTGAGTAAACCTATGTTTTGAAAATGATGTTTTTGTTTCTACAGTTACATCTTTTCTTTTACTGCTGCATTCATTGAAATAATGGTTGTGTCTCCACAGTGTGCAATACTGTCACCTGCCTTCAAGGTGCGTGAATTCTCCATCACAGACATCGTTTCCTATCCCATCTCCTTGAAGTGGCATTCTGCTGCAGAGGAAGGTCTGAGGTAAACAACTTTCTTTTGATACTTTTTTCCTCTGTTTCTTATCTTAACTCTTCAATATAATAATGTTAATTTGTTACAGTGATTGTGAGGTGTTTCCCAAGAACCATGCAGCACCTTTCTCCAAAGTGTTGACCTTCTACCGGAAAGAGCCTTTCTCTTTGGAGGCCTACTACAATAGCCCTAACGAGCTGCCCTACCCTGACCCCACTATTGGTAAGCAGCCAAAGCTTCCCAAATGATTTCTGACTTAGATTTTGACTTGGATTCTCATTAGGGAACAGAAATACTCAAAACCAAACACAGCACTTATCAAATAGCTACATCTGTTTGTTTTTAATCATGATTGTTTTTTTTTCTTCCCTACAGGTCAGTTTCTGATCCAGAAGGTTGTCCCACAAGCATCTGGGGAAAGCTCCAAGGTGAAAGTTAAGGTGCGAGTGAACATCCATGGGATATTTAGTGTGTCCAGCGCCTCCCTGGTTGAAGTGCAGAAGTCTGATGAGACAGAGGAACCCATGGAAACAGAACAGGCCAATGACAAAGATGGAGAGGTACTTCAACCTAATAAGTGCCTGCATCTGTTTACACTGAGCATCAGATCAGTATCTGTGCTACTATCTGTGCTTCTGCTTACAGAGAAAAAACATGTCTGGTATTTATCACTCCTCTGCAGAGCAAGATGCAGACTGATCAGGAGGAGCTACAGGGACAGGGAGACAGTCAGAAAGAAACGGAAGAGAAGGCGCCACGTGAGAATGAAGAGATGGAGGTAAGATGGAAAATTTTTTATGTAAAACAAACACCATTTAATAAAGTTGTCTTTACAAGGTGATACAGCCCACAATAAACTGTGTCTTTAAGAAACTAAATATGTTTAAATTTTCATCCCCATGTATACAATTGAAACACAATGTGGTACTTTATAATACCTCAAATTATACTCATGGCCTCAGAAGTAAAACATTGACTCAGCACCTCTCTGACATTGTGCAAACGAAAACTAAACTCTGTATGTTTCACCAAGATGGGTTTAATGCAGAGCCCATGCACCAGATTACATTAGATTGTCCATTGGACACCTATATTCATTTTGATTTCAGTGCCTATTTGCTTTTTTTTTTTTTTTTTTTTTTTTTTTTTTTAGACTACCACAGAGGAGAGCAAAAGCGAGAAGAAGTCTGACCAGCCCCCACAAGCCAAAAAGCCCAAAGTCAAAACAAAAGTATTGGAGCTTCCGATCGAAAACAGTCCACAGTGGCAGCTAGCAGACGACATGCTCAATCTTTTTGTAGAAAATGAGGTAACTAGGCTTTCAGCCATCACATACAGACATTACAAAATCCACCCATCAAGTTGTCATCTTTAATTACTCGATCTATTTTGAAGTGTTTGCCAGTTACAGTTGCTGTGTGGGTTCTCCTCAGGGTAAGATGATCATGCAGGACAAGCTGGAGAAGGAGAGGAATGATGCCAAGAATAACGTAGAAGAGTATGTGTACGACATGAGGGACAAACTACATGGGATGTTGGAGAAGTTTGTCAGTGAATCTGTGAGTAAACAATCACTTCCGACTCATTGTTAAGAAGGACTTATGATCTATGTTATCAGCTTATAATCACTGGACAACCGATTGGGCTTTCCTTTTACATATTGTGAAATTATTTTTATATTTTTAGGACCGAGATGCCTTGTCATTAAAGCTGGAGGACACTGAAAACTGGCTGTATGAAGATGGAGAGGATCAACCCAAGCAGGTGTACATTGACAAACTGGCAGAGTTAAAGGTAATTATTATTATAGTAATTATTTGTTGTTGTTGTTTTTTCCTTCCATTGATTGGTCAACATTTTGATATTCTTTAACTAACATGAGAATTGTGTACTCTGCAGAAACTTGGCCAGCCCATTCAGGAGAGGTATACAGAGGCTGAAGAGAGACCTAAAGCTTTTGAGGAGCTGGGAAAACAAATCCAACAGTACATGAAATTTGTTGAAGCATACAAAATGAAGGTAAAAGAGAATTTTATATTGTGTGTATTGGGAATCCTTTTAAATGACATTGGAATATTATGAATCTATATGATTTCTGTTAACCTTTACCACATAAAAATTGAAGGCATCATTGCAAATAAAAGTAGTAATGCCTGTGGTAATTATAACACAACTTTTGTGATCTTCCACTGTTTTCCAGGAGGAGCAGTATGACCATTTAGATGAGGCAGATGTCACCAAAGTGGACAAACTGACCAATGATGCAATGATCTGGATGAACAGCGCCATGAACCAGCAAAGCAAACAGAGCTTGACGTTGGATCCCTCTTTTAAAGTCAAAGACATTCAAGCAAAAACAAGGGTGAGAGTCAATGCATGAGATCATAAAACCAGAGCACTGTGAACAGTAACTTTAGAAATTTAAAATGGAGAATCCCATACGTGTAAAATAAAAATGCAAGAGGCTTAAGACTGCTAGATTTGTCCAGTCAATAAAAACTGTGGCCAGTGTTAAATTAGTATTGTGTATGGCAGTTGGTGGAAAGTAATTCATAAACAGCACATAGAAAGGATGAATGAAATTTAAGAATTCACCCTGCAGAAATTCTGGGTATTTAAATAGTCCAAATTCATATGTTGCTATTTGGGGTTATCAACATAAAGTTGCTGTATGCTGTTCTAAAGTCACCTCAAATATGCTTATTAACAATCAGATGGCTAGCTTTACTCATTCAGCATTCATTCAGCTGTTATTGTGCCTTCATGTTAACTGTAAACATGACACACTGAGGTCAACTATCTAGCAGGAACATGAGCAACTTTGGTGCCTTTTTATTGCAATTATTTATTTGGCCAGGACCAATTGGTAGATCTCCCACACAACTGTATTACTTTTAATAAAACCATTGTTTCATGTTGTGTTCTTTGTAATTGTCCAGGAGCTGTTCTCTGCTTGTAACCCCATTGTGACCAAGCCCAAACCCAAGGTGGAGCTTCCCAAGGAGGATACGCCTGCAGAGCAGAACGGGCCCGTCAACGGACAGGAGAAACCCCAGGACGAAAGTGCAGACAAGGGAACGACCGAGAACACAGGCAACCCCACCTCAGAAACAACAGAAAAGAAGCCTGACATGGACCTTGATTAAAGCAGCCTAAAGCCTCCCTAAAGCAAAGCTGAATGGGAGCTTGTTGCTTCAGATTGAGATGCAGCCTGGGTGTATATCAGAGCAGGTGAAGTGTTTCAGGAACTGCACTCCACAGTCAAAAGCAAGCAGGGTGATTAGCACACTGAGCCCAGCTCCTGGTGGTATCTCTGTCTGATGACATAGCATGCCCTCTCTCTTTCTGGATGACATAAATCAAAAGCCAGCCGCAATAAGCCTGTTTGACAATGAGCGCTGTACACATGATGGTATTTATTTCTGTTGTGTGCTCTGTAAGTGTTCTGGTCTGTGTCACAATATGGTTTTAATAAAGTTATTGAAAATCACTTCTCCATCTTTATTACTTTGGTCATATATACCCAAGGTTTCACACAGGTATTGCTTCTGTCTAGCTAGTAGGGCAGTAGTAGCTATTGAAGACAAGTAATATCCTGGGTCTTTGGGGATTTTGGTGTCATAAACAGGAGTTTACATTCCACTAATAGATAAATATTCATGTTGGAATTTAAAATGAATTGTTCCAGTATCATTTTAGACTTCATGTCTTTAAATACTTCTGTTGCTAGGCATTAAGTTCAAATAAAACCCAGGTACCAAAATTAATCCAGCCCATACCTGAGCTACATGCTTGTTTCCTTCTGGCCCAGTATACACCTGCTTACACTGCCCAGATCTGGCCAATATACATCATAGTTGTCAGATTCCACTTCCACATCTGGACCAATTCTGGCACACAGGAAATCTTGCAGCTGTCAGACAATACAGAAGGATAACAGCTGGAGTTGCCCAGATGTGAAAGTATGTGGGCCAGATTCGGGCCAAGGACCCAAGCATGTGTTGGGCCAGAAGTTTCATTTTGCTATCTGGGAAGGGTCTTAGTATTAAAGAAACAGCAGCTTCATAATGTAAAATTTAAAGAAAATTTAACAGTTAAATGAATAAATAAGACATGAAATCTGGTTTGAGATTGATTAGTGCTCCGGCTATTTGGTCTCGAGACCTCACATTTCTCAAATTTACTGAGGCATTAAGTCATATAATCACATCATAGTAAATCTTTGATGAAATCTTTGACTTCATAACATGATAAGCAGGGCGCGTCGAGTAGTGTCTCCTTTAATGTTGCCTAGCAACCACACTTAACGTTCTACCATGAATCAAGTTAATGTAAATTCGGTTAAAGGCTGATGAAAAACTGTTTTTCTTCCTCTCTTAATACACTTATGGAAGCAAATGGGCAAAGTTTTTCAAAGCTGTAAACCACTCAACATAGCAGCCCGAGGAAACTTTGTGCGGTTATTTATCAAGTGAGAGCTCCCTACTACTTAGCTTACTTGCTAACGTAAACGTAAGTTGATTGAACATCGCCTCCTTGGTGAGAGGCTGTTTGCATCCGACTGCAGGAATCACATGATCCCTTCAAGATCCTGTTTCCTCCGAGCATAGACTGTATATAAAAAGGTTTCGAGTAAAAGCTACATGCAGTTCAAGGTACAGATGCAATAACTCTTTACTTTCTGTTTTATTGGGACAATAACGCTGCTGTGAAAGTTTTGGTCATATACTACGCGGTTGCGTCAAAGCCGCTACAGTCTTTCGCCAGCTTGTTTAGCAACCCTGATCTCATTTTAGTGTTGCTGGATGATATAGTTTCCTTGGTGAGTCTAAAGTCTGGTTTAGGTGTGTTTTATCGTGAATTACTGCAAGGCTGAGCTCTTTCAGACAAGCAAACCGTTTGTTTTTTTTAATTTTTTCTCCAGGACGATGAAGCTGATCATACTCAATGACTACGACCAGGCAAGCGAGTGGGCTGCAAAGTACATTAGAAACAAGATTTTACTATTCAAACCTGGCCCAGATAGATATTTCACCCTGGGGCTCCCCACAGGTGAGTAGAAGCTGGCGGGTTATACTTTATTATCCTGACCGACCCAAACACCGTTTTTTTCCGAATTTAGTGCTGGAGATACTGTATACTTTTGTGTAAAACAAGTAATATAGTGTTTCACCCCACATCTGCTGATTCAGTATCACTGGCGGGAAATTGTCAACAGGCCTTCACTTTCATGATAGAAAACTTATACTAAATAATAAGGATAATAATAATCTTTATTTATAAAGCTCTTTTCAAAAACTACGTTACAAAGTGCTTGACAAAGAAAGCAAAAAATAGAATCAATAAAATCAATAGATATCAAAGAGCAGAAAAAACATAAAACAAATAAAACGGTTTAATTTTTAAGAGAGTAATTTTAAGAGAAATAAAAAAATTCAAGGGAAAGTAAAACCAGGAAATGCTTAAATGTAAAAAAAGGTAATGTATGGAAATTAGCTTATATAAATAGTAAAAGTACTTTATTCAACAGAAACATAAAATATTGATGCATGGATCTAGAAGAACTGTCTAAATGTTGCAGTCTGTTTTACTTAACCATGCAGAGTGGGAGTTTAAAAACAAACAATAAATAATCATTTTTGTGACCCCACATATGCATGTAAATGTATTCTCTAAATAACCTGTACAGCCATTACAATAATTAAACAGAGTAAAAAAACTACAACATTTTTCTTCGAAACATAAAAGATAAATAGTATGAAATGTCCCAAAATGGAAAGGCTGAAGTTCTATCACCCAGAAAACAAGTACAGTGCTTGAGTGAATGTACTTTGTTAGTTTTAACTAACTTTCACTTTTGCCCTTTGTAATCATAACCTGTAGCGCTTGGTTTCTACAGGAAGCACACCTCTGGGTTGTTACAAGAAACTGATCGAGTACTACAAGAATGGTGAAATCTCATTCCAGCATGTGAAGACTTTCAACATGGATGAATATGTAGGTAAGGCTTCACCATTCTTTCTCATCACTTAAAATGGTTACACACTGAGGAATTCTTGAAAGTCGTGATATTGCATAAGATATTGTCATAAAATCCAAAACAGGACTTCCCAGAGGTCACCCTGAGAGCTACCACTCCTTCATGTGGAATAACTTCTTCAAGCACATAGACATAAAAGCAGTAAACACCCACATCCTTGATGGCAATGCCACCGATCTGCAAGCAGAGTGTGAATCCTTTGAGGAAAAGATTACAGCTGCCGGGGGGATCGAGCTCTTTGTCGGAGGTCAGGAGGTCACACTGCTGATTGTGAATGTACTGTAGCTAACTACACAGTTATGGTATCAAGTGAGTATGCAGTCACTTTTGAAGCTGCGGTAAAAGTCAAACTGCTCTTATTGTCCTTGATCAGGTATTGGACCCGATGGCCACATTGCCTTTAATGAGCCTGGTTCAAGCTTGGTTTCCAGGACCAGGGTGAAGACTCTGGCAAAGGACACTATCATGGCTAATGCCCGATTCTTTGATGGGGATCTCTCAAAGGTGCCCACCATGGCTCTGACTGTGGGAGTAGGCACTGTCATGGATGCAAAAGAGGTTAGAAGCCTGTATTGATGTCACCCATGTGCCCTTCTTTTTCTTTATGTTTCTGCAAAACATCAAATTTTGATTGATAATTTCCTAGCAGAAATTTGCTTTGAGTTGCAGAACAGTGCATTCCTCGGTGATTTTGTCATCTACCCGACTCACCTAAAACCACCAATTTAATTTTGCTCATGCTTAGCCACTGGTCACATTTAACATTTTTTCTCAGGTCATGATTCTCATCACTGGAGCACACAAGGCATTTGCTTTATACAAAGCTATAGAAGATGGTGTGAATCACATGTGGACAGTGTCTGCGTTCCAGCAGCACCCACAGACTGTTTTTGTATGTGACGAAGACGCCACCCTGGAACTGCGGGTCAAAACTGTAAAGTATTTCAAAGGTGAGTCTAAATCACAAAGCTATAATGTCTAAATGACTGTTTTTCAGTTGTTGCAGCAGCCTGGACATTGACATAAATCATAGAAAAATCCTGAGTCTTCTTTTTCTTTAGGGATGATGCATGTGCACAACAAGCTGGTGGAGCCACCTTCTTCAGGCCCTAAGAAGAACTGATCTAAGATGTCTTTAAAACTTTGTGGATTCATGAGACATTTTTCAAAATATTAACACTCCAATGATTCCTTTATCTTCCGATGGAGATACATTAGTGGACATCAAGCAGTGCTTGAGTTAACCACAACTAATCTTTGTAGAAATAATCAGGTGCTCAGTATTCAGGTGATTGTTCATACAGCTGTGCTAGTCATTTGTTCTTTGTAATAAAGTGCATTTAATTTTTATATATTGGGTGTGTTATGGGATAGTGCTGTGGCATCCAGTCTTTTAGTCCTGTCACATGACAACACGGAACAACTCATGTTGCCTTTAGGTGCTCCTTGTAATCTTCCATTTCCACATTTGAAAGTGACTTCATTGTATGTTTAAGAGAAATGTAGGAGCCCAGACCCCTTGTTGCCTGCCATGGAGTATAACTAAGTACACAATAGTCTGCAGTTTTGAGGTACTTCTACTGTACTAGAAGGTGAAATTATGATTTTCTGCTACTTTGTACTTCTTCAAGCACACGTACTCCATACTTTTCAGAGGCAAATGTTCTATTTTTTGCTCCACTATATTTGCAGATGAAGATTTTTACAAACAATCCCTATGATCAGGTCACAAAATAAAATGCATTGTTGATTAATAAATTACCCAATGATTCCAATGGTATAAATTATTTTTCTCAGTTGTCAGTGTTTATCAGTGTATCTAATGCAGTAATACAATATATACAATAACAACACTGTAGAGGTGGCTGATCTACAGGGCACTATTACTTTTGATACCGCAAGTACATTTTGTTAGTTTTACTTAGATATTTTATACGTTTTTAATAATGTACCTTTCTTTGTATTTTTACATTATCATTATTATTATTATTATTATTATTATTTTAAATATATTCATTATATTTTACATTGTTGTACTAAACCGATGACACAGAACCGAATTCATACTAAAATTTAATACTTTGTCGCTTCGTTCATGTGTGAACAACTGTGAGGTGAAGTTTCAGACAGCCCGTGAAGGTAGCATCAGAGTCAGCTACAGTCAGGAGGGGAGAAGGAAGGAGATGGCCGACTAAGAGCCAACCTTATCTCTGCTACTTCGTCGGCGAGATTCCTGTTAACATAAAACATTTTAACAGTTGCAGTGGGGGAAGAGGACATTTGAAATATTTTGCCCCTCTTCCACAATGGCAGAACAAAACAGTAACGTCAGATATCAGGAGGTAGGTAACCGTTTACTGCCACGCTAAAATGTAGCTAACAGTTAGCAGGCTGCTCCCCGGATCAGCTAACACTAGTCACTGTCAATGAGGAAAACAACGAGCTGCACCGACACTTGTTGACGGTCGGGCTTGATTTGGCGATTAATACTTTAGACTTGTATCAAACCAAATTTCTTACTCTGAAAGAAAATAGTAATTATATCATCATAAATTCGTCCCATGTAACTTGAAGCCTTGTGTGGCCCACTGTCTTTTAGCAGCTAGTTAGTCAACGTTATGTGGTATTGTCAGGCCTGAACTGGAGTGCTGTGTGGTGTCACTTTTTCTAGCATTGATGCTGGACTGTGGTAAGACTACCTGGCGGTCGTGGACCAGTCACTAGTCTGCCCTTCCAGTAACTCAACCTCAACAGACAGAACAGGATCAGAATACTAATAAAGAGATGCAGCCTCCCCATCTATAGACATGTATTAATTAATATGCAGATGATGTGTGTGTCAGTGGTCGGTTTATGGTTCCGTCGGGGGTTTGTAGTTTTAGTGATGTAACAGAGGTTACTGTGTTATCACTTACAGATCCAGTGCAAATGATCTGTACTGCTTTGAAAAGAAATGGTTGCAGACATGTCTATCATGGACACTTGTTGCATAGTAATTACACAAGTGAGACATTAGTGCTAATGTTTAACCTTGTTTCTCTTTGAGGAGTCAGCACAATCCATCTGTACTCTGCTTGTTCAATACCTGTTCAAAGTAGACATGGTGTTTGTAAACCAAGAGGTACTGTGAGGTAGGGGAATATGGATACAATCTTCTTGTAACTTCACATTACAATGTGTACATATATTGTTACACAGTAAATTGGAAAGTCAAATAAGAAAGCGTTTACAGGTTAAACAACAGATGAGCTTGTCATTTTTGGCAGAATAAAATGCCTGATGCATCAATGAACTTCCTCACATATTTCCATAAAGCTGTCCTCCCAGTGACTTGCTACTTTTTCTGTAATGGCCTACTACAACCAGAAATCTAACGGGGATAGCTGCCATATTTATAAATATTGCCCAACTCTATTTCATCTACTTAGTTTTCATTTAGCATAGCCAATAAACAGAGTTTTCATAAAGGCCGTAATTTAAGTTTAACCTAGGTTGTGTTGTCACTTATTAACATATCTTCAGCTGGTGAATGAGGAGGAGCCAGCCCAGCCATCCCAGGAGGGTCCTGCCCCGGACGCACCACCACCGTACAGCAGCATTGCAGCAGCAAATGCAGGTTAGGAAGCTTCACAGCTCCATCACATACTGTTATATGCTAGATTGTTCTTAATCAGACTTGGAAGAAGTATTCACATCCTGCAACTACATAAAAGTATAAGTGCCAACTTAATAATGATTCTCCAGTAAAAGTGAAAGCAGTAATAGTGTAATTGCAGTAAAAATGAATGTAGCTATGAAACAAAAGCCAAAGTAAACAAAAATTACCATTTGTTTTCACTGTCACATTATTGCTGGGGGCATATGAATTGTCTCTGATACAAGGATGATCACAACTGTGCCTTTCATTAGAATTGGGAAAAATCATGTCCTATATGATCACACTTGTAATCTGTTTGAAATGTTTTAGTATTGTAGCTGCTCTAATGCTAATTTAATGTTGTATACACTGTATGTATGCTAATCTCTAACATATCTAATCGCTTTATGAATTCATCTTGTGTTTTGTATCCAAAGCCTCATTCTGTCAAATAAAAAGTAACTGTAGCTTTAAGATAATTATAGCGACAGAGTAGAGGGAAGTAGCTTTTGTCCGAGGCCTTTTAGAAAGGTCTGATATTTCTAATCTCACTTCTTAACAGGTCAAAGATCAACATGTTGCATAAGTGCGTTGCAGCCTTGAGCTGTTCCTGGGCGAGTCCAGTGAGCAGGTTCAGTGCTGTTTATGTTTGAACAACACAAATGAGGATTCTGGGTAGCTGCCAGATGACCCAGATAAGAGTCTTGGCCTGTATGGGACAGAGCATAAACAATAATGGACACGCATACAGCTAATGTGTTTCTTCCTGCTGTAACTCATCCCTCCCTGGTCTGGCTTTATGATTTTCTGCTGCTGCTCTGCTCTTTGAAGGAAGTGAAAGTAGATTTTGGTGTGTCAGCAGTCAAACGTCAGTGTCAGTTGGTGAACCATTTAACATTAATAATTTTGGGTTTGCCGCTGACATTTTAGATAAAAATTTAAATCCATATTAGAATCAAAATAAGATTTTATTTTTTGACTTTCTAGAGAGTTACAGAATTATCCGCAGCTCTGTCTAGTTACCTCTGTGTGTCTGTTGGTGAATTTACCGCATAACTGTCATCAAAGATTTTTTTCTGTCCCTACAGATATGTGCCCAAATCACAAATGATAGGAGGAATAAAATTTAGTCCAGTTCATGTTTTATAATTTGCTGTTCCTGTGCATAAAGCTGAAATCTGCATTGTTTTTGAATGTATGTATATTGGTGCTAAATCCATCTTTATTGTGAAGATAATATATAAAATACTAAATACTAAAAAAAAAACAAGCATGCCCAACCTATGTAGCCTATATGATAAATCAACACAAGACCTCTGTTATTTAACACTCATTTGCTTGTTACCTCCACAGCGTTCTTTGAATACAAGGAAGATGGAGCAAGATTTCCTAACCCTCCATCTTACAGTGTTGCCACTACTCTGCCCTCCTATGACGAAGCTGAGAGAAGCAAAGCAGAGGCTGCCATCCCTCTGGTCACTGGAAGAGTCACGGTACATCCATCTCATTCTCAAACATCATTTAGAAATACTCATGATCACTCAGAGTTACTCGTCTCATACTAATACGTCAACAAAAACAAGTTGATGTAATGTAAATACACATTTCTTGCTGTCGGTGCAGGAGGACGACTTTGTAGCCAGAGATGACTTTGAAGACGCTGATCAGCTGCGAATAGGAAATGACGGCATCTTCATGCTCACTTTCTTCAGTAAGAAACCCTTTAGTATTTCAGCAGTTGCCCTGTGCAGTTATTTTTATTTCTAAAAGAGTAAACTAGGAAAATAGTAAACAGTTTCACTGGCATAGAGCTGGTTTGTAACCAGTGAAACTAGGTGTTATTATTCATAGACTGTATATGAATAAATCTGCAAGAAGCAGATCCGCACTCCCCATTTGCTGTATATTTGTCCTTGAATAAGCGCTCTTATAAACTGAATTTGACATATTCTCAAAGGTTGTTAAATTTTCATTGATTATGGTCTTTCTGTCACCAGTGGCATTCCTCTTCAACTGGATCGGCTTCTTCTTGTCGTTCTGTTTGACCACGTCAGCTGCCGGCCGATACGGGGCCATCTCTGGCTTCGGCCTGTCCCTCATCAAATGGGTTCTCATTGTCAGGGTAAGAGCTGTTTACCAAATATGCACCACAACATGTTTAACTACTAAATGGCTGTTCAGTGGTGTGAAGGTTACAAGTTCTTACTGGTATTGGTTTATAGGAAGACAGAAACATTATACTCACATTATCTTGTTTTTACAGTTTTCTACCTACTTCCCTGGTTACTTTGATGGGCAGTACTGGTTGTGGTGGGTGTTCCTGGCCCTGGGTAAGTAATAGTCATTTTATAAACAAATTTTCCCATCATTTCCCACGATTACATTTTGGTAATTGTCTTGTGTTGTATGAGCCTTAATTTTGTATTACATATCTTTTCTTTGAACTTCAGGCTTCATGCTGTTCATCAGGGGCTTTGTCAACTACTCCAGAGTGCGTAAACTGGCCGATCCCACCTATGCCACTCTTCCCCGAACAAGGGTACTCTTCATCTATTAGAGGTAAGGCATATTGCATAAAGCCAGTTGTCTCACAGGAGACATTTACATACACACAATAATCCAGATACAGTGAGTGATGAGTGATGACAAAGAAACGACAAGAAAGTGCATTTTTAAATCTGATTTCTACAGCTTGCCATGACATAAATTCAAGATGGTGGATGTGGGAGAACTGGACATGACCAACACAAGCAGCGACTCTGTGAAGAGTTTCAAATTAAACTGAAGACACTTAACCAGAAATCAGCCAGACGAGTTACAGATGAAGAAAACTCTCAATAAAATATTCAGGAATTATATCATTTGTTTTATTTTTGCTTTGAAACTTTATTAATGGAAAAAGGTTAACAGTAATAGTCCCTCAGTGTACTCATTAGTGACGAATGTTAAGTGCTATTTACATCTCAGTCTGTAATGTATAAGTAATGCCTTATATCATTTGATGGTAGCATACGAGCATGCATCTGCCCTTAGGGTCAATAAATAGGGAAAGCCTCATGTTGGTGACACTTATAGCCAACAGGTATTTATTAATACAGCACTCTGTAGACTTGCCATAGCATGTAACACACTTTGTAATCTACACTAATCTCACTTCATGGTTTTATTGTGACTATTCTAGGCTCTTTTTAGACACCACATACACTTAAAAGCAATTTTTTCATTAGGCTGTAAATGCTCATATTCGCATTACCACATGTATCACTCACCTGTTGGCTTTAAGTAGTGTTGCCCTTTTTTTAACCAGAAGGGGGCAGTGTTGTTTTCTGCTTTTAAGATATTGGAAACTGTCCATCAAGGGCATTGTCATAATATAACATACATGCTTGTGATTCAAATGCAGTGTCAGTGAAGCACACCGAAATGACATCCATGTGTCAGAAGTTATGATTTTGCCTATAAATGTTTTGCTGTACATTTACATTTAATCGGGTAAAACTATCCATCTTGGGAAAAAAAGAGTTTTAAGTTACAGATATGATCTTAGATGATGCTGCATTTTTTAACAAAGACAAGCTGCAACTAAAAACCATATAGCCACAAATGTCAAGCGACAATCCCCCCGCAGCAGCTCAGCTGACAGTGAGGGGACGCTGAATTTTTGGACAGTGACAGAAACCGAGATAATTTTTCTGGGCGTATGAGCACATTTTGTGGTTCATGGCCTTATTTAGATGTAACAGCGTGACCTTTGCATTACTCTTCAGTGAGTCAGTGGAGTCGGCATCACATTGAATGTCAGTGGAAAAGCTGTGTGATTATAGAAAAGATTCTTTGGCTGTCTGGATTTCAGCTGTTAACGATCTCGCTGAAGCATGTGGATCACATTATCTAAGAGCATAAAAATAACTCAAATTCCTTTTCCAAGTGGGGTTTTGCCATAAGATTTAATTGACAGATGGGGTAGGGAAATCTTTTTTATTTTTTTTCCTTTTTGGGGTGGGGGAAGGGTTAACACTTTTTTTTCTTCTTGAGGTGTAAAATGTTAGCTATCTTGTGGAACTATGTCAAAGAATGTTGTATGCAGGTGCACTTTTAGAAACATAACTGATAAAACCCAGAGGACGTTCCCATCAGGTCTCAGACATATAGAACAAGGAATGAATGATGCAGCAGCAGTTCAGGATTTTTCTTTAGTTTTAGAATCTGGAGGAATTGGCATGTCAGGATAATACAGTTTTTCATGATTTAATCATTGTCATCACTAGAAGGAGTTAATGTCTAGCAAACTGAACTGTTTGCCTTAAACACTTAACTTAATACTTCTGTCATTGCTTTGATACAGACCCATTATGCTTATTTCTATGTGATGTTAGAGCTGCAACTTTGGGGTTTTGTTGTTATGAAACTGTACATAAAACGTTTAGTGTTAAATAAATGTCACTTTTAACGCGTCATCCGAGTGGTCTGGATTGATTATTTCTGTATTACTGTGGGGTCCAACAGGCAATGTGACAGATACATTTACAGTTTTTATAAATCAAAACCTGCAGAGAAGGATGATTAACAGGTATAATTTATGGGTCAGTTTTATGAAGCTATAGCACTGTGGAGGGAAAAAAAAGTGGTGCTCAATTTTGCAAGAGAGCAAGAGAAAAAAAGGAACGCGTGTTAAATGATTCACTGGGAAATTTTACACATTGGTGGCACCAAATGGCAGCATTGTGTAACTGCTGTGAATATGAAACAACATCCGCAAGTCTGGGAAAGCTGTGATTCAGCTTGACACCCTGGTGTAGGTCGGACCTGTGGCCTTTTCAAGCTGTTCATTTTTTTTTTTTCTTCCTCAAAAGCAGATTGATTACAGAAAAGTTAAACCAGAAAGGACTCGGAGCAGATGAACTCCAGCAAACAAGCAATATTCTCAGTAGGTGGGTTACATGTGTCACCTGACATTCAAATAAGTGCAGTGGTTCATGGGAAAACCACTGCAAAAAGCAGCAATTCCTGCAATCACACCTGGATCCAGATCCTCATGAACAATGAGTTGTTCCTGCCTTTGATCTAACTCTCCACCAGATGTCATTGTCATCTGGAAACAATTTTTTAGACAATACTAAAATAAATGAGATAATAAACATTTTTTACCAGCACTACACATGAGGGTTTTTTTTGTTAATTATAGAATCTATATCATATAATATTATTTTATAGTCTACTTTTCTCATCTCACATAATCATCTAAACTTCCACTTGGTTTGAGAACCACTAATTCAAAACCAGTACAACCACTGCTGATTGAAGCTCATTTCTCTCAGTTACTGTGTCCAGCACCGACATCAGATTTTATGTTAAAAGAGACAATATGGAAGACTCATTAAAATGAGATGTTGTGGAAATAAATAAGTGCAGTGTTTTAAAAAAACAAAACAACAACAACCAATCAACCATTTTCATACCACTTCCTCAAACACTAATCCCTCCATGAGCAGCTTCCTGTTTTGGTTGAGGTATCACTGTGTGTTGGGATGAACGTCTTCACTCCCCGCAGTCGTCCAGCTGTCGGGGCAGAAAGAAGACGGCCTTCTGTCCGATGTGTGTTCTTGGACCCAGTTTAGGTTTCCCGTTCTTTTTCAGAGCTACGTACCAGTTCTTCTCCTGATATTTCTGAGCCTGATAGGTGTTGTAGTGGTTCTCCTCCAGTTTCTCCAGGAAGTAACATTCATCAGTCACAGTGTGCTGAGAGAGAAACACAAAAAATACACCACCAGCTGACAGCACTTTTGGAGGGACTTTAGTTGTTTGGTTTGAGGCTAAAAGCTTAAAAATGCACTCACCAAAGTTAAGATCAAGATTGTATAATGGTGAGTGATTATTTACAATAGATATGATTTTGGAAGATTTATCTACACATGCCTGCATCAATAAGTTTAGTATTCTGATTTACTATCACATAACCCATGTGTTGTGGATACTCACTGAACTGTACAAACGTCCCTCATCACTCATGGCCAAATATCGCCCAGCTTCTGTGCCTTGGATCACCACCACACCTGTGTCCACAGCTTTAATCTTTAAAACAGCTGAAAGGAGAAAAAGTTTGAAATCAAGTGAAAAGTGAATAAACCTATATATATAACACCTCTACAAACATGAGTCACTTTATTTTCTGGAAGGAGAACACTGGCAAGGGCAAATCTGAGATTTCTGTTTCAGTTTCAAACATACTTGGTGTTTCATTTCAGCTCCAGTCAGCTGACTGATAAAACATGCAACAGTTAAAGTCCTTGCTCCTGAGCTGAATGACTCGATGAATGACGGCTGTGTAAAGTCTCATGAGATCATCTTTCATAGAAAGATGCAGCATCCTTGTTATTCTTCTGACCAAATAAATGTGTTGTCTTGCATTTCATTCATTTTATTTCATTAGGTTATTAGACAATAACAGTGCTCATTGATCAGGACTAAAAGGCTCATTTTCATGTTAAATGCAATAAATGACATATATATATATAATGTATTACATGTGTACTTTTATCATAGGAAGTTTATTACAGGCAGTTTTCTAAACAAGAGAAAATAGAACCTGCGAGGAAAGAGGCAGAGGACTGTAGAGAGACAACAAGTACCCTAATGTTTATGACCTGACCTTTCATATTTGACATTAATGAGTTATATTATATTGAATCGTTTGTTTTTATAAGGTCTCATCTTTTCTCTGTTATTTTTAAAGAGCAAAAACATCAATGCTCTAGAAAATAAATATTTTTCAGAATAGGCCATACAACTTCACCAAATAGAGAAATTTGTGTCCGAGTTTCCTGTCATGAGTGAGTAACTACATTACACCTATTTTACCCAATTAGTTCAGCTTTCAGTCTCACGCCCGCAGTAAAGGAAGTGAACGCATCATGCTAAGGGCCTGACCTGGATGTGAAATGGGCTGTGTGCTGCAGTCTTACTGTGAACGTCCCCCTCATCCCTCTGGCCCTGCACTGTCCCATCGGGCAGGATCTGCAGGTGATGTCCGCCATTCATGCAGTACAGCCGAGTCAGCCGCCTGTAGTCCCGCAGCAGCAGCCGGGCGCTGTCCACGGCCTGATCCTCCACTGTGAACACTTCTCCATCCGCCATCCCGCTCACAGGAGAAAGCAACCGACCTGTAAAGGATTTCCCCCGATCAAACTAACAGCGGGCACCGTCCCCTGCAGCGGTCAGGTGTTCACATGCGCGTGAACGAGCGCAGAGACCACACAGGCAGCTGGATGCGCGTCCCCGACTCCTGGCCTCAACCGTGGGGCGTGATTACTGACACATCAAGACCCCAAACTCAACCTCAACTTTTTAAAAGTGCTGTGATTTAAACAACACTAGAGAGAAAGACACAACCAGGCCTTTAAGGTCAATACATTTACAATTTTAGTAGGTTATTTTATTCATAATTCCTAGAGAAAATAGGTCTTTATTAAACCTGCAATAGTTTCACAAAAATTGCTTTCATGTTGTCATTTGATACATTAATAAAACATATAATTATAAAAGCTCGGAATACTTAAAAAATCAGCACTGACTTCTCAAGAAGTGGAGGCACTGGAGGTTGGATGCAAACCCTGGATAAAGGCTAATGTTCAGTCTAGGCTGCATCAGTTTCAATCAGAAATGACATCCTACCTAATGACAACTCTAAGCAAAGGCAAATGTAATCTTGAGATGTTTGAGCCCTACAAAACTATTCTGTTCACTTCCAGCACAGTCTGCAGAGTAGACCTTTAGTAGTGGATGTCTTGAAGCCCCTGAAAACTTGGCTTCACATCATAAGTGGTTGTCATTAACAATAAGTGTTCTTGAATAAATAAGCGACAAAGTTTTTTCTTAATTAAAAAAATTACTATTTATTAATGGTTTAAGAATCAAACTGTTCATCAAAACTGTGTGGGTGTGGTTTGATCAGATTTGACTGACAGCACCAAACTACTCACCCTCATCATGTTTGGATTGAAATGCACAGAAGTAGCTGAACTCAACTTTTTCGAGCTGAGCCCTGCCCACCTGAAACCAGTGGGAAAAGCACAGGAAAAAAAAGAGAAAGAAAAACAACATAACACCCAACTAAGAACCCAGATGGCAGGGAGGGAAATAGTGTGTTCACATCAATGTCATGTTCAATGTAGGAGCCTGTCACTTCTTGTGTGATTTGGGTGAACTGACCCTTTAAGTAGCTCCTCCACAAAAGGTGGTAATATCCGCAGCTGCAGAGGAGACCCAGTATTAACATGCTACCTTTGATTCATCTTTGAGACTGTCAGAAAGTGGCCGATTCTGATTTTGTTTTTTGGAGCTGTTTCTACATGAACAAAAAATTGTTATGTAAATGTATTGTATAGTTTAATGGTTAGCAGTAAGCTGAAGTTATATATGCCCATTACTTTTTAAACAAGCCGTTTCATTCAAACCCTAATGTAGAGCTGCTGAGGTCAAAGCCATGCAACCTCTATATGTGAGTACCTTAAGTTTTTACCTCATTTCACTTAGAGCTGCTGCTGAAGAGCCAGAGTCCAGAGTCTGAAACTTAAAAACAATCATTTAAAAACTCATGAAAACAAGAACCTGTGAAACACTTCAGAGATTCGGTAGACTTCAACAGTCTCCTCCAAGACTCAATAAACCAGGTGCCAGAATGGAAAAGCTCATTTATTTGATGAACAAGTGCTTGCTGTGATCATGAGAAGTGGCTTACAACGAGCTTACCGTTTCCATTGTTCATTATCATTGAGTTACTATCATGGCAAACATCAGCATACAGTTCCTTGTTTTGAGAAGTACCACACAAAGACATACAGTACAACCTTTAATCAATGGAGGAAAAGTTCAACAGGACTCACACTACAGAGGAGAAATAATACAGAGGGTTGGTATAGAAAAACTATTATCTGGAGACAAACACACCACGTTTTCTTTACAATGGATTATATGTACATATTCAGTTTTTTTTAAGCAAAACAAAGCTTTTTAGAGAAAGCATATACCAGTGAAACATGATCTGCCCTTGATAATTCTCAAAAGTTAATGTCTGCATATATTTTATACAAAATAGATTTTCAAACAATATTTGGGTAGTGCAAATCTTTTTAGATTCAAGCTGGTTGATTACTTTCACAAACAGTTTGTGTGTGAAAAAGACTGACTCCTATCCTATTCACAGTATTACACAATTTGACCAAAGCCATCATGTTAGAGTAAAAAAAATGTGTTTATAAAAAAAAAGAAAAAAAAAGAAAAAGAAAACAAATAACTGTACATTTGTCTTCTATGAGCTACTTAAGTTTACACTGACATGTTGAATTTATCTGTACTTGCTTTGGTCACCTTGTAGTTAAACATCAAATAGGCTTTTTTGTGCAGTCTGAGTGGACTGATTACTGACTGAAGTGTATCTATTCCTGAAGTTAAATGTGAATCTCCTGTATGCAAATAGCTTATATCGGAAAAAAAAAATAGAAGAAAAAAGTTAGCAACCACATCTTGTTATGTGATAGTGATAGATTATCTGTTATTTCTATTGCATATTCAGTTGTCCTTCTCAAAAATGTACAAGGTAAGCAACGATACATTTTTGAGCAAGAAGAGGCAAGTGTGTGATTTTATATATATATACCTGTTTAAATGACAAGCAGCAGCAGCAGCAGCAGCAGAAGAGATTTCGATACACTGAATGTGAAAGTAACCCATGAGTAACCCCTATGCAGTTTAATGAAGATAGTTTTTCTGAATAAACCTTAAAAAGAAAAAAAACAAGCGTCCTGTTTCTGAGCCTGGGTATAAATGTCAACGGTGGCAGCACATTCGTGAAACTTTCCTAATATGTCAAGTAAACCTTTTTTTTTTCCTGACAAAAATACATCATAAATAAAATCACAGAAGCAGACACATTTTGGGAATCCAAACTGAATGTTTTTGGTTCTTAATATCCGCACATTAATGACTAAACACGGACAACCACATACTGTGTGAATCAGACATAAAGTTTCAACAACCTGAGCGTGGAAGTGGCTTAAAATATATGACTGCTTTTATAGTTGTTGTTAGGATAGTTTAGCAAGAGAACATGTTGACATTTTTCAGCTTGGGATGCAACAGTGAGCCCTCTGTAGTCGCACACGTGACATATTTAACCAATTATTTCTAACTGACAGAGCATTTTCTTTAATATGTCGATAACATTTCTTTTAAACTAAATTTTCCTCTTTAAGGTTCACATTCATGTCAAAACCTGGATTAATTTGTGCTTTAAACACAAACAGCATGTCAGGGTTATGAAACACACTGATGACAAACTAAGCAGACAAAGTTGACTGATGAAAACGTTGCAACACATTTCAAATTTCCACTTACTTACACCACACATAAAATTGGGATACTGACAGACCTACATTATTCTGTGTGACTACACAACACATCTGCGAGTGCCTTGTGTTACAAAAAAAAGAAAAGAAAAAGAGTAATCTATCGCTCATTAATAATGTCCTCGATCCATTCTCTATTGATCAGACAAATTTACAAGCTTCAATGCTGGGACTTGTTTCTTCTTCTGATGCAAACACTGAACTTTTCGCATCACTGAAAACAGACAAAACAGGAGTTTGGCACTGAAATAGTTCCCAGAGAATAAAGGATCCATTTTGCCTGCCTCCCCAGTCAGTGACACTACACTTTCACTGTTGCATGACTCTACGAGGTGACTGATGCTAAGTGCTTTCAAACATTGGGGTTTGACTAACTAACAGACAACACATTAACATGCAGAAGTACTAAAAGACAAAGAGACATGAAGACAAGGTGCCTGGCAGGGTGTTAACGAAGCAAGGGGTTAAGTTGGAGAGGTTGAAGGTTATCAGCAGCTGTAAGAGGTTAACAGGGTAATGAATCTGCCAACAACTGATCCAAAGTGCTGTTTAAACACACCGTCATACAAACTGTTCATTTTGAAGGAATAGTTCAGTATTTTGGGAAAATACGCGTATTCATTTTTTTTTTCTTACAGAGTTAAATGAGAAGATTGATACTACTCTCATGTCTATACGCAAAATTTGAAACTCCACCCAGGAGACAACTAGCTTAGCTTAGCATAAAGACTGGGAAGAGGTAGCCTGAAAACAAAATCATTAATATATGTTATATCTCGTTTGTTTGATTTATACAAAAACTGAAGAATAAAGTGAAGAGTCCAGCAAATTACTAGTCCCAGCCAAGAAATCGTCCATCATAAGTGGTAACTTGTTATGTTTACATTCACGTGATAATTACTGAGGTTTAGAGGTGCTGGTGGAGAGTGGACAGTTGGACGAGCCGTTTCCCTGTTTCAAGTCTTTATGCTAAGCTAAGCTAACTGAATGCTGACTTCAGCGTCACATTTACTGTACAGACAGGACACTGGTATTGATCTTCTCAACTCTCTGCATGAAAGCAAGTACACATATTTCCCAAACTGTTAAAACTATTCCTTTGACAAATAAGAGCAACGCAATGAAAACAATGCATTAGCTTTCAATAACATATTTCCCGAAGCAGGCGGTTATTGAGAGCATGGATATACTGTTGAAGAAGGATCTTCAGTGGCAGAATCATGACTGCATCTTTGTCAGTTTTCCAAAAAAGACTGTAGAAAAAACGTTAAAAAATGAAGGACGGTTATTTTCTAACCAGTCTGAGCCATGGCAAAACCACAGAAAAGGAGTTTTCCTGAAGAATTAAAAATGACATAATCTTGCAAACACAATAAAATATGCCCTCTCATTTCTGATTGGTAGACGCACAAATCTATCACATTCCACTATTCGACTACTGGAGCTGGAGCGGGGGCTAAAATAAACATCAAAGTGGGCTATTTCCTATTTAAAAAAAAAAGTTCCAAATTTTATCTACAGTCATATGGTAAAGACTAGTACAGCATAACAGTCTTTCTTCACAGTCTTTTAAAGCCTTTAAGCAAGGTAAAAAAGTGCTTGAATCGCACTTAAATGTGGAGTTAAATGTGTGGGAGATCACGTCAAAGGAAGCAGGCTTTGAATATTCTTTCTGAACATTGAGGATCATTTCTACACACGGAGGATGGACCGAGCTGCCACTTCTAAAGATGAACACAGCCACTGGAAAAAAGGAAAACTTGCAACTGCATGTAATATAAAATGTACAATCAACATACGATGAAGGAAGACCATGATGGGTTAAAGAGAAGAACGCCTTAGACAGGTAGGAAGAAAATGGCAGATGATATTTGAAGCAAAAAAGGCACATATTTTTTCCCTTTTATAATA